TCTCTCTCTCTCTCTCTCTCTCTCTCTCTCTCTCTCTCTCCCTCTCTCTCTCTCTCAGTCTTTGTGCTCTTTTGGTCTGAAGTCTTTGTCTGATGTTGTGTCTCTATGTATATCAGTCGCTATCTCTCTGCTCTCTGCTTCTCTATTTCCTCTGTCTCTTTTCGGATTCTTCCTCTGCATTCTCTCTGACTCTCTGTATCTCCCTGCCTCTCTCTTCCCGCCTCTCCATTGTTCCCTGTCTCTTTGTCTCTCTTCCTGTCCCTCTGTTTTGTCTCTGACTCTCTGTCCCCTCATCTCCATCTCCGTCTTCCAAGTAGGTACCTCCCTGCCTGCCTCCCACCCTCTCCTAACCGGCTGTTTCCAGGGCCCCGCCTCCCCGACTTCCTCTCCAAAGCCTCCCACCATTTAGCACTGGGAGTCTCTCTTCGGATCATCTGCCTGGGAGCTGAGGGCTGGCTGGCACAGTCAGGACTGGCAGAGATGATCAGGCCAGTCCTGATGAAAGGGCGTGAATGCCACTTGCAAGTAACACAAGCACTGGAACCTTTCACCAAGAGAAAAGAAGCAGACATTTCACAGACAGAAAGTTTGTATGCCCTCCTCCCACCTCCCCATTCTGTAGTGCTTTGCTGTCCCCAGAATCTGGAAGATGGGCAGCCTGCACGTGGGGCCTGGGCATTCCACTTCCTGGCTGGCTGCTCATTTAAATGCAAAACCTGGGATCCAGCAGGGAGGCTTGGCCCCTCCACTAGTACTGCTGAAGCAGGCCCCTCCAGGGGGTGAGGGAGACCCCACTGAGGGCCCCCAACTTTCTGAGGACCCCCCCACCTTGGGTAATGGCTGCTCTGAGAGTCATGAGCTCTGTGAGCTCTACCATCCATGTCACAACAGGGACCTTCCTGTGCCCACTCTACTCCAGCCATGGACATAGCTCCCCAGTCTGCAAGGGACTTTCTTCTCTCTCTGCAGACCCCCCACTTGTCAACCTGTCTGTGGAACCACAGCCGGTGCTGGAGGATAATGTGGTCACATTCCACTGTTCTGCAAAGGCCAACCCAGCTGTCACCCAGTACAGGTAAGCAGCACGGTGAGGCGGGAGTCACCTAGCACGATCCTGGCACCCAGCACAGGGCATGGCTCACTGAGGGTGTCCAAGAGCCTTCTCCCCTCCACACCACACCCAGCAGTGCTGGGCAGGCGCAGACTCCTCCCCTTCATGTACACACACATTCTCCCATGGATCTGATGGGTCTGACCCCTTCTGCTTAAAGAAATTGTTTATCCCTTGTTTTTGAAATGAGGAATAGAGGCTCGGGACAAAAAGGTAAAACAACCAGGAGAACCAATAAGGTAATTAGCGAGCAGACTGAGGGGCAGCCCCAGGCCCCCAAACCTTGCATGTTCCAAATAGGTTCTGCCATCCTCCACATAAAGACAAAACATATGCTTAGTGTGAAGACCTTCAATAAAAAAATAAACTATTTTTTTTAAAGTGTATTTTATGCACACAAGAGCTGGGGTGCAGGCCAGAGGTGTGGGGTGTGAGAGGATTCACCAGAGACAGAGTGGGGAGCAGAACAGGCAGATGGACTGAAATACACTGCTGAGGAGAGCAGCGGGCAAAACAGGAGAGGTCTGCCGCGCCATGTGGGTCACCTCCATGGCCGGAGATAGAACTGAATCACTAGACCACCATGGATGCCCTAGAAAAGAACTTTAATAGAATTACTATGCAACTGAAAGAGCAATATTTCCCAGTTGAACACCCAAAGTTACCCACCTTCTTGCAGATAAATGCCCAGGCAAGCAGGGTTGATCCAAAACAGGGCCGCTGAGGCCCGAAAGCTGCCATAGGTCTAAGGCTTCTCTGCCAGAGGGAGGCCACAAGGGAAAGAGCAAAACCAAAATACAGGTCAAGATAAAGGCTGCCACTGGTGCCTCCCCCAGGCCTCTCCCCTGTGCCTTTGTCTTCCAAGTGTCCTACCACGTGCCCCAAGTCCCTGGTACAAGTCTCAGGCCAAGAAGCCAGCAGGGCTTCTGCATATGTCTCTGCTCCAGATGCTTCCCCAGGTCTTCTTTCCCTCAATGCTGGAACCTGGAACCTCCCCTTTCCATGGGGATGACACTGTTACAAGATGCGGACCTGAGTCATCTGTGCTCCCCAAACTGCTTGTAGGACGGAGTGGGGTTCCTGGCACAGCAGCCCTGTCCCGAAGGCCTCTCGCTCACCTCCAGGGCCCCCACGCTCCCTTGCTCAGAGTGTCACCGTCTACATGCTGGGCTCCCCTGCTGACTGAGCTTCCTGAAGGCAGGAGCTGGCGTGTGCCCTGGAGCTCTCAGCGTGCAGCCCAGGGCACGGCCATAAGTGGGGGTCTACAAGGCCAGGTGGCTCCTCTGGGCGCCTTCCCACCTGGGCACCCCATGCACAGGATTGCAACAGTCTGGGTGACCTCAGAGGCGCTCAGGGCAGACACGAGACACACTCTTCAGACGCCTCGTGGGTCTCACAGCCATTATGCCTCCTGCCGGCCCAGACTTGAAGGCGGAGCCCAGTGTGTCACTCTGCCATCGAGAAAGGATATTAAGCTTCAGTTAGTGCCAGGGAGGCTAATGGTCCTGGACTTGGAAATCAGCTGGTCGGGAGGGTGAGGACTGGAAGACAGGAGTCAGTGCAACCCAGAGGGTGGAAGGCCAGGAAAGGGACCGACCGAGGTGGTGAGGAATGCCCTTCAGACTGGAGAAGGGGCTCCCTGCAGGGCAGATAATTAAAGCATGCTGGAACCAAAACCCAGGAAAAACCAGTCTCGACCCTTGAGAATATTTAACAATAGGATGAAAATCCATCTGTCCTATCCAGTGTCAGCATCCTGTGGGCTGAAACAGGAGGAAGGGGGGATGATATCCAGGCTCCCTGAAGTTGTGTGACCCCAGGAACTGTTCATCGGACTATTCTTACATCTTTCAGTGTTTTGTTTTTTAACTAGAAAGTCTATCAGTGAACAAGCATAGACCGTGCAGGCTTCCCTGGGATGGGGAGCCCAAAGCTTTTCCTCCACCTCCATCCACCCCACAGCTCAAGGTCACAGGTCAGCGCCCCCTAGATGGGGGAGGTTAGAACAGGGTGGGGGGGGCGGCAGTCCCTCGAGATGCACCCTGGTCCTCCCTTGGCCTTCTGACCAGCCCAACGCCGTAAGAAACTGCAGGGTCCCTCCAGGGTCCCTCAGAGTCCCAAAGGCTTCTGGGAGCCCTCCCAGCCACTAGGAAAGCTCAGGACAGTCGGGGAAATGAGGTGGGTGGAGGGGCCTGGGACACCTGCCCCTGGCCTCCCCGCTCTACCCTCACCAGGTGTGGGGCTATTCAGTAGCCTGTCAGCTGTGGCAGGGTGGCCCTGCCCTGGGTGAGGCCTCCCCCAGCGGAGATGGGCATTCTGGATGTGGTACTGGGCTCGGGAAGGAAAAGCCTTAGGCAAATCTCGCATAAGTACATCGATTTTTCCAACTGACTTTGACAAGATTACAGGGGTCTTTGTTTCTCCATCCATTCGTCTTGATTGCTTCCTCCCTGTCGCACAGAAGATGCTGTGATATCAGAAATTAGATATAGGCCCTCCTGCACCCCAGCACCCAGAATGGGTTCCTGGGTGATCGCAGATGCTTGTCTGGCTGTTAGTCCAGGCTCAGCTGTCACTTCCACTGGGCCAGGAGCCCCCAGGTGAGCAGCCGGCCCCACCACCACCAGGTGCATCTCCTGCTGCCTCTCTGCTTCTCCTTTGAGGATCTCAGTACCCCCCTGGGAACTGGGGAGGGCACAACCACCTGATGTGAAGCAGGGACTGTTGGACAGCCTGTCAGCTGTGGCTTGTCAGGCCTCCTGATTCTGTGATATAAATAATTAATCCGCTTACATTTGCTCAGGCCATAGTAAACATTGATTGGGAAAGGCTTCATCTGGCTCCTTTCAAAGGGGGGAGAGCTGGTGCAAGCATTGGAGGTGGGGGAAGAAATTGGAGGGTGGAGGTTGTTGGGAACTGGAAGAGGAGGAAAGCTAAGCAGAACAGAGGAAAGGAGAGAAGGAGGGAAAAGAGGAGGAGGAGGGACTTGCTCTCCGGTTCACCCTTGACCCTGAGCCCAGCTAGTTCAGTGACTGGTTTGAACTTCTGGAAGGATCCCTGTGATGTCATTTTTGGGAGAGGAGGTTGAAGTGTGGGTCTTTAGGCATCCTCCATAAACTACAGAGGGCTTTCTTTGGTGTGGGAGGGAAATAAAAGCAGGGGAGAAAAAGATTGGTTGATGGAGATGTGAGCAGGGGAATCCAGGGGTGTCCCCAAAGGCCTTAACCACTGCCTAGCACCCACAGCCAGCTCCTGGAGGAGGATAGTCCTGCTCCCCCTTCCACCTCTGAGGTGGCGATGGCCCAGGAGAGCTACAGGCAACAGAGGCATGGAAGGCCAGGCTCAGACAGTGCAGCTATGCCAGGTAGAGAGTTTGGTGCCACAGCTGACCGGCTAGGTGCCAGGCCCGCGGGAGCCCCAGCGGATCTCCCAAGCCCCATCCCAGGGCCATGGCAGTGAAGCCTCTACCAGCCATGGTTCTTGTCACGAGGGACTCCAGACAGGGAGGGGAGAAAACCCCATGGGTTGATGGTGCTGATGTCTGCCCATCAGCCGGTTCACCTGGCCCAATCCCGCCCCAGCCCCACACTGTGCTGCGGCAGCCAGGAACAGCAGCCTGGGAGGACACTGGGCCTGCCCTCCTCAGCCGGCCAGCCGCCCAGCCTCCCCCGGCACCCTGCCCGACCCCCTCGCTTCAGCAGGGTGAAAGAGTAGGGGGTCAGACTCTAATCCTCAACATGTGTCTGGGACTGAATTCAGTCTCTGTCTGACAATTAAGTCTGGTCATGAAATTCAAGTTAGAATTGGAATGACTCATGAATAACTCATCGTGGTCATTGGGAAGCTCCTTAAGCTCTCAGGGAGCTCTGGCCTGCTTTGTTGTTCAACTATAATTGTTATTATTCCTCGTGTTCTTAATAATTACTCCCATATTAATTTATGATAATAACTACATGGCACCAGCCTGGACAGAGTTCTGTGATGCCAGGAGAGGGTCTCCCAGGGCTGGATGGCCAGAGTGAACAGAAGGAATCAGACCTCTGAGACACCAGGAAAGGCTCTAAAATGGGGGGATGGAGAGCAGGGAGGCGAAGGCAGGGCCAGCAGGAGGGTACAGGGAGTCAGAGTCATGGAGTAACAGTTGTGGGTGCCAAAGAACCCCACCAGTCTGGTATAGACATACACCCTGAAATAGGGAAGTAGGAGGAAACTAGTGGGGAATTTTGTGACTCAGAGAAGTGATTCTGGTCCTGGGGCAGGATGAAGTCTCTGCCTGGGGCCTATGCAGAATTCCCAACCCATGCTCACCCACATACTTCCCAGGGGACTCCAGGCACCACCCTGTGGAGAGCAGGCTACCAGGTCACCCAGTCATTGTCCAATGCAGTCTTCTCCGCCCCCCCAACTCCATGGCCAGCCCCAGGGAAGGGCCCAAGGTTTACCAATCTCTCCCCTCCGGTGATACCACTCAGCCAGCCGAGCCATGAAGAGGCCAGGACAGCTTTCCTGGACCAAACCTGGCCGATGGAGCGCAGATCACCGCTGAGTGACCGTGGGATGAGGCAGCTGAGCAAGAGGAGTTAGTGCCGTCCCTGGGAGAGGGCTGAAAGGTGTTCAGGGAGAAAGGGAACACCCTGGAGCAGGCCTCAGGACTGGGAGCTGAAAGACTGCTGGCTGGGGTGGGCAGCCAGGATACTGGTTAACATCTCTGCTCTTGTTTCTGTGTGTTTGTGTGTCCATGTGTATGTCTGTGTGTGTGTGCACGTGTGCACACTGGTATGGCTTCATGCCACTGTCCTCTGACCTCTGAGGTTCTGGACTCTTCTTTGCCACGATGACCGGGGATGGAGCCTTCAGAACAGCTCAGAGCAGGGGACTGTCTGAGCTGTCTGGAGACTAGAGACTGGCGACTGGGTCACGCATTGCCTGACCAGTCAGCAAGACATCCAGCCCACCTCCCTCCAGAATAGCCCACTTGTCTATGCCACTGACTTTCCAGTGACGCACGGACTGAAGCCCATTGACCATCCCCTAGTGCATCTGTAGAGATGCCCCCTGCAGAACCCCAAGGTGGGGCTGCCTGTGCCCCCCCAACACCAGACCTCGTTTTCCGGTGGGATGGATATATCATCTCCCAGAGATCCCCTGAGCAGGAGGGATACCCTGGCTATTTGAAGTCCTCACCAAGCCCTCTGGGGCTCTGTTATAGGTGGGCCAAGCGGGGCCAGATCATCAAGGAAGCGTCAGGAGAGGTGTACCGGACCACCGTGGACTACACATACTTCTCAGAGCCAGTGTCCTGCGAGGTGACCAACGCCTTGGGCAGCACCAACATCAGCCGCACGGTGGACGTCTATTGTACGTACAGCTATTTGGGGGCTTTCCTAAAGGGGGTGCTGGGTAGTCTCTACTCAGGGAGGTACCACCCAGAACTTATCAAGCACAGCATCGCCACAACCCAACTCAATGCTGTGCACTTTCCAGAAAGCTTACTCGTGGGGTGGTTCTATATGTCTCGTGACCCCCATCATAACCCAAGGAGGCAGGAATTCTCATTCCCATGATCCAGACAGGTGGATGGAGGCCCAAGGCCATGCAGCGAGGAAATGAGACTGAGCCAGGCTCTGAGCGAATCCACTGCCTGTCCAGGACCCTGCTGCCTCCCACCAGGGACTCACTACACCCCCTTCCTCCCTGGGAGCCCCGCGGGGACCCACTGCGAGCCAGCCTGCTGTGCCAGGCCAGCTGGATGTGCCCACTACTGCCCTTGCCAGTTCTAAAAGCTCTTTCCAAAATTTCTTTACGGTGGACCACTCCCCTCGCCCCCAACAGCCTCAACAGAAAGTTCAAAAAGTCTGTTCCCTTTTTACATCAAGGGATGACTCTGGGTCTTCTGGTCCAGATTCATACTCTTCTGCTCCCTGAAAGCAGTTCTCTGCCTACCTTCCTGTCACGGGGCCTCTATGACACCACTGCCCCACGCTGGTGGCCTAGTCTGTCTGCAGGAGGCTCAGGCTACAGTCGAGGCCAGTGGAGGGGAGCCGCTAGATAAAGCTCACTGCCACTTAGCAGGGTGTGGGAGGTGAACCCAGCGCTGGCTGAGACTGGGTGGGGTGAGAAAGAGGCTGGACAGACCTGGAGTGGGGTAACTTCAGATGGCGGGTGAGAACAGCTGCCTGGCCTCCTCACTCCTCTTCCCGAAGCCCCTCTGGGGCCCTGGGAGGCTCAGGGAGCCAGCCAGCAACGTGGGGCAGCTCCATCCAGGTCTCCGGAGGAGGGAGGGCAGGGGCCTTGAGAGTAGACACCGGGGGCTTGCTACCCTGGGGTGTAGTGAGTCTGCCACTCAGACCCAGAGGCTTCTGGGGCCGGGCTTCAGGGGACTGCAGGCCAGGAGGAAGCTGCCTCTGGAGCCCCCTCACTCTCAGATCAGTAGACATGAAGATCTCAAGGCCCAAGACTTCTGGGTCAGGAGGGAGGCCCCTCTGCCCACACGCTGGCACAGGGTGCTTCCTGGGACCAGGACAGAGGGAGGGGAGTGGGAGGGCCTAGGGGTCCGTCAGGGCAGAAATGGGGCCAGGGCGAGTGCTGCTGCCTCCTGTCAGGGGCCAGAAGGAGCCTGAGCTTGGGTGGGGGTGTCTCTTCCTGGGGCCCTTCCCAGAGCTGGGTCCAGCCCAGGCAGAGAACTGGGGTGCAAGGGGATGGCATGGGCTGAGTGGACACAGGTAGCCCACTACCCCCGTCCTCCTCCCAAGGTTGGGCAAAGGGAGGCAACAGCAGGAAGAAGGGGTCCCAGAGCCCTCCCCTCCACCAGAACCCTGTCTCTGCTTTCCATTGCAGTCGGGCCGAGGATGACCACAGAGCCCCAATCCCTGCTCGTGGACCTGGGCTCTGATGCCGTCTTCAGCTGTGCGTGGACAGGCAACCCGTCCCTGACCATCGTCTGGATGAAGCGGGGCTCTGGGGTGGTGAGTCTGCCACTCAGACCCAGAGGCCTCTGGGGCCGGGCGTCGGGGACCTCAGGCCAGGAGGAAGCTGCCTCCAGAGCCCCTCACTCTGAGATCAGGGGTGTTCACCTCCAGCGTGAGCTGAAGAAAGGTCCCCAGAAAGAGACATGGCAACCCAAGGCCCCCCAACCCTGAGTGCCTTCAGCCATGGTGGTTTTGAGTCTGTATGGACAGCATGTGGCCCATCACCTATGTGAGGAGTGAAAAGCCAGAGAAAGGCCTTTCAACTTCCCCCAAATACTTGTCACCCTTTAGTGTTGGGATAAGTTTGCTTTCTTCCTCTTTTAAATTGTTTGCTCTCTTCAGTTCAGAGCTCGTCAGCCAGCCCTTCCCTTGCAGTGGCGGCTAGCCTATGAGGGTCACTGCCCCCCTCCTCAGCAACCCCCTCCTCCCTTCTGCCTCTCCCCCATCCATGAATAAGGAAACAGCATCAGAGAAGATAACTCACTGCCCAAGGCCACACAGCCAGTGGCCATTGAGGTCAGGGTTGGAACTCAGAGCTAGTCAATGCCAGTCTGTCTTCTTTGCTTTACCTCAAAGTATATCCCAAAGGGATACAGAAAAGGCAGGTTCAGGGAGCCTCGAAGATGCTCAGCTATAGGATAATTCACCCCTGGGTCAGCCAAGTACAGTTGGGTGGGTAACCCCTCCGAGTATGAGGGGGCCTGGGGCTTCGGTAGGGAGTTCGCCTCCTCCCACACTCAACACCTCCCCATCACCCCCGGGGTGCAGAGCCCCATCATCTCCAACGACACAGAGTTCCCTGTGCTGTGACTATCCCTGTGCAATAAGCTCAAGCTGTGTAATAAGCCCTTCTCCCTCCTGCCGCCACTGTCACCCACCCTGGGGAATGTCTTGGCGTCCCTTGCCTCCGAGCCTGCCTCTCAGCCCTCCTGGTTCCGATAGAGACCACCCCTACTCTCTGTGTCTGATCCCCCCTCCCAATTCTCCTAGGTCCTGAGCAACGAAAAGACCCTCACCCTGAAAACCGTCCGCCAGGAGGATGCTGGGAAGTATGTGTGCCGTGCAGTGGTGCCCCGGGTGGGAGCCGGGGAGCGAGAGGTGACCTTGACTGTCAATGGTAAGACCCCCTCGGGCTCAGGCCAAGAAGTGAGAGGGATCTGAGAGGCAGCCAAGGCATCTCGGTCCTGGGTGCCCAAGGGGTTGTCATTGGTTCTGGGCCTTGCTACCACCTCCAGCTGTGGTCCCTTAGCAATTATGTCCTCCTCTTCTCGTCCTTCAGAGTCCAGCCCCGAGGCAAGGAAGGGCCTGGGTCATTTTCTCGTCACCTTCCTCCTTTTTTTGTTATCTTCTAAGAGTGTACGTAACTGAGCAGTTTTATCCTGGCCAGGAAAATGGGGTACCTGGGCAGCCAACATTGACTCTACAGTGACCTTTGACCCACCCATCATGACCTTGACCCTGGTGGGGACTTTAACGGAACCTCTGGGCGACCCTGTTCAGTCTCTTCCCTTTGCCTTAGCCCACTCACCCAGCAAGACCTGTCACCATGCCATGAGCCCAAGTGTACAGAAGCTCCCCAGTGGGGCAAAGAATATGCCCTAAGAGAGGCTGAACCCCTCTGCCATCTCCACGCTCCCTCATGCTGTTGAATTTCTGCTTCTTTCTTACCTCTTTCCTGCTGGAGGCCCTTTGCAAGCCTCCTGGTTCCACCAGTCTGCCAGGGCCCCAGGGATGGCTGGGCCAAGTTCTAGAAATTTGCCCGGTTCACCTCATCTCGACCCAGGAAGCTGCTCACTGACAGCCTTGTGTATTCTCCTCCTTTGCTGGGAAACAAAAGCCCCCTCTGTCACCCCCAGTAGCCAGTTCCCCTCCATCTGTTGCACTTCTCCCTTCCCAGAGGGAGAATGGCTCCCCAGACCCTGCAGCACTCACAGGCCTCTGTCCTGAGCCGAGCCGTGACTCGGTTGCCTTCCTGCCTTCCCTAGGTGTCCCCAGGATGCCACCAATAAATTGGCACTGCAGGGCTAAAAATAACAGCATCTGATCGCGCCTCTGTATATCCATGGCAACACGGCAGCAGCCTTTTCCTGCCGGCTCCCTGTCTGACACTCCACTCAGGCTTTGGGTCCTGGTGAAATCAGCGGTCTCCCCCGCTGCCTGCCCTCTTGGGGAGGGGGGGGGCGCATGGGGAGTCTTGCAGGCCCTTGATAGGCTGGACTGGGAGCCCTCAGACTCATATGCAGCCTCCAGAGCCCCCAAGCCTAATGCTTTTAAATGAGCATCCTCATTTCTGGGGTGTATAGAGGAGAGTCTGATTTGCCAGCATCACTGTAGACATCCAGGCATGATTTCTCAGAGGGACAGTCCTCTTGGATGGGAGCCCACAGCCTGGGCCCTGGTGTCTACCCAGGACTTAATCTGCCCTCTCCGGGGTCATCTTTCCACCCTCCCTCTTCTGCCTGCACAAGCTCCCCTGGATTGCCTGGAAGGGAATGGCGCAAGGGATTGGCATGAATCAAGGAAGCTGAACTAGGGTTACCCTGCCCTGAGGCTGGGGCCTGAAGTAAGCGGCCTAGGAGAGGGAGACCTCCCAGCCAGGCGCCAGAAGGTTTAGAGAGACAGCAGCGCTTTGGAAAGAGCCAGCGAGGATGAAGGAACAGAATGACAGGAGGCCCTCACCAAAACAAACCCGATGGGCTGCTGCTGGCGGCCTCCCTCTGGGGCGTGAACTGGCACAGATCTAAACCGCATTAACTCAACTCAGGGATCTGCAAGACTGCTGCTCTTTGACACCCCTCCTCATATACCTTCATGCCGATTTCTGTTTTCTTTTATCAACCCATAGACGACCTGAGAAACCTCCAGACAATTCCTCAGTCCTGGGTTGTAGGAGGAAAGGTTTGATGGTATCATCACTGTGTACCAGCAGCAAAACAAAGCTCCTTCTAAATTCTAAATAATCCAGGCTCCCCCATTTTAGCCAAATATGCCTAAGGTATCTAAGAGAGGAACTGGGGGGGAGGGGCTAGGTGGAGGAGGTTTGGGGGGAGGGTGAGGGAAGGAGCCCACTTTTCAAGCCTCCTGAGGATAGAAGCCCTGAGATCTCCGTCTGCCAGACCCAGCCCCCAGCCACATGCCATCCCAAACTCGATAGATGGCATGAGAGTGTTTCCTGGTACCTTTTTTCCCTTGCCTGAGAGCTACTCAGAAATGCAAATCTGTTTTAATTAAGGCGGCTAATAAACAGCAATTATGTTCACAGCAATTTTTGTTTTGTTCCCAAGTAACTTTGCCTGCCCTGCAGGTCCCCTGCTCTGTTCCCTCTTTTCGGGGTTGAGTTTAGGCTCCCCCCTGGGAACCTAAAATGGGGCTCGATGGCTTCCATCTCTACATCCCCTGCTCCAGCAGCCCATCCCTCCCTTCTTTCCCCCTTTCACGTCCCGGTGGGCACCATGCAGCAAAGACTTAGACAGAGGACAGGCAGAACTGTGCTGCTGGGCTGCGGGTTCCAGGTGTGCTCGCTAGACGACCAGATGCAGTAAATGAGACAGGTACTCCGGGAACCTGACCTCCAGGCCGCGCACGCAAAATACAGGACCTGGTCTGGGGCCATGGACTCACCCTCCGGGTACAGACAAACAAGGGGCTGAGCTTCAGGACTTGCAGAGAGACGTGTGCAATGGGGACCATGAACTTGCATTCCACCTCGTGTCGGTTCCCCTTGACGGAGGCACGCCCCTTTTCCTCTCTGGCAGCCTCCGCAACATACTCGGTGTCTTAGGCAAGCGCGCCCTCTACTGCACATCTGGTAAAATTGCTTAAAATTCAGCCGCCAACGTGGAGGTGACTTCGCCCCAATTCCCTTTCCCCTGACACCTCCTCTACTCCTTTTTCAGGCTTCCCACCTCCTTCACAAAGCTCTCACGATCCACCAGGGAGAAGTATTCTTCCTCCTCTGAAGTCAGTTAGCACTTCATCTGCACTGCCTCCCCGCCTGTGGTGTTAACTAACTCCACCTTTTATTACAGTTACTTGTGTCTTCTGGGCTTTCAGACTCGGAAGCATCCACCCACCATGCCTGAGAGGCTCGTGACTGGCACCTCCTTTATCTTCCAACCCCCTGCCTTGCACACAGGGGCCTTCCGTAAATGTTTGCTGATCGATTGAATTAGTTAATAAACTCTGAATCTACTTCCTGCCCTTCCTGGGTCATGATGTGAAGCTGTCTCCCCACAGGGCCCCCCATCATCTCCAGCACCCAGACCCAGCATGCCCTCCACGGAGAGAAGGGCCAGATCAAGTGCTTCATCCGGAGCACGCCGCCCCCTGACCGAATTGTGAGTGTGCGGAGGGTGGGTGGAGAAGGTGTGGCTGGGAGGGGCCCTCACAGCACACTGGGCAGCCATAGCAGCCACTCTCTGCTGACTCTGCCCTGAGCGGCGGCAGGTCTTTGAGTTTCCTTTTTCTCTGTGGGGAAAATTTTCTCAGCCCTGTGAGTCTTGCAAAGGCATCATGAAGACAAAACTCGAAGTCAGCCGCCCTTCTTAGACCCACAGTGCCCCCGGCTCACCGGCAAGCGTGTCTCACACCTCCCTGCTTTCCGAGAAGCACCCATACCAGTGGTTCTGGCCAAATTCGGCGCCCTGGGAGCACAAGGGCAAAGACAACAGTTCCACTTTCTGGGAAAGCCCAGTCTGTGGCCAGCTCCTGAGCAGAGGGAGGTTTATAGCTGTGCGCCTGGAAGTCTCTTCTCTCAGCCTGCACTGGCCAGCGGCCTTGGGGAAGCTGACCCCACTGCTCAAAAGTTCTTCTGGTGATAGAATCATTCTATCACCACACCACGCCCATCCCTCAAAACGCATCTCCCCGTATGCACAGCTAAGGGGATGTGGTATTTATAAATGTCGGGGTCATCCGCCCGCACAGTCCTGCTAAAAGACTGTCCAAGGTCGGGCCCCTCTGGAAGTGCAACAGGTTAGGGTGCAGCACTGCAAGCTAGCTGCAGCCGCTTTAGTGCAAGTTCCATCTCCAGCCCTGGAGGTGACCACTTGGCACAGCAGACCTCTCCTGACCTGCCTGCTGCTCCCCTCAGCTGTGTACTTCGTAGAGCTGCCTGTTTTGCTCCCCACTCTGCCTCTGATGAATCCTCTCACTGCCTCTGGCCTATACCCCAGTGCTGTATGCATAAGTAAATAAATCTTTAAAAAGAAAGAGAGAGAGAGACTGCCCAGGGTCAACCCCGAAGGCGGTATGGTCCCATGCTGGGCAGGAACAGCAGGACTGTGGGGGACAGCTGGGACCCTGTGGCAGTAACTAAGTGTCACGCTGTCGGCTAAGATACTGTTAGGGCATCTGTGCTGTTACACTCTCAGGTGTTGTGTTCATTCACGGAGAGGCTGACGCGTGGTAGGAGGAGCGGAGGCCTCCCCGTGCACATCACTCTGCTGATGTTACTAGTCACGGATGTGGCACGAGTCCACGCAGCATGCTCCATCCGTGCAGTCTCCGGGCACAGTCCCACTGTCTGTCCTCAGACACCTCACCAGGCCAGCTGTCCCCCCAGCCGCCCCCTCAGGGGACATTTCGGCCAGCACTGGAGAGTTTTTTGGCTTTTTCCATTTTTGGTTGTCACACTTAGAGGGGAGCCACCAGCCCAGGGAGGCTGCTCGATATCCGGTAGCTGTCAGGACGTCAACAGAGCGTCTCCGGATGGCGCAGGGGCTACGTCAGCACTGTGAAGCTACCCACAGCCTCTGCAGCAGGAGTTTGATCCCGGGCCAGGGAGCTGACCCACAGGGCGGGGCAGACCTCGCCTGTCTCCCCTACTGCTCCCCTCCGCAGTGTATTTCAGCAGATCTGCCTGTTCTGCTCCCCACTCTGTCCCTGCTGAATCCTCTCACCCCCTGCACGGCTGGCCTGTACCCCAGTTCCTGTATGCACAAATAAATAACTCTGAAAAAAAACAAAACAAATGTCGACTGAGAATGAGCAGCAGCTCTGGCCGCCCACCCTCGGTGCGGATGGCACCCCCATTCACAGGCTGTGAGCCAGGGGCCTGCGTGCTCAGGTGCCTGCAGAAAAATCACACTCCTGAAGAAAATTTGTAAACATCAAAAACCAAAATTCAAGTTCAGTGTGTGTACACTAAGACAAAGATCACCCCCCCAAACACACACACACACACACACATACACACTCACACACGGCTCCAAGAACACAGCTGGCCAGACAGACGTGCAAAATAACGAAGCCAGGCCTGGCTGCTGCGGGGCTGGCCTCACCTCACCGGCCAGAGGGTAGTGTTGGGGTGACTGCCATGGAGGGGGATCACATGCCACGCACAGGTTCCTGGAAAACCGCTCCAGTGCAGGACACGTAGGGCCCCCTGTCAGAAATGCCCCCTGTGGGATCCAACCTCCGCGTGTGTGCACGTGAGGATGTTTGTGGGGTGTGGGGTGATGTGTACACCTGTTGGGGACATGTGTGTACGCATGTCTGCGTGTTGGGCTGCCTTGTGCACATGTGTCTGGGTGTGGTTTGCACGGTCTGTGTTGGCTGTCTGTGGGGTGTTGCGTGTCCCTTCATGGTGTGTTGTGATTGTGTGTAACTCTGGTGTCACGCGTTGGAGACGCGGGTAACATAGGTATATGTTTGCAGTGTGGTGTGCCCATGTTCGTATCGGCGCTGTGTGTGGTCGTGTGTGCACTTGGGGGTGCACAGGCCAAGGCGCGTGTATGCATATTTGGGACGTGGTGTGAGCATGGGGCCTGGACGCAGTGCTGGTGCTGGCGATGGGGACTTGTCAGCCCCCACAGGTGGTGGCCCTTGTGGGGGTCTCCACCTAACTCTGTGCACGCCGGCAGGCCTGGTCCTGGAAGGAGAATGTGCTGGAGTCGGGGACATCGGGGCGCTACACAGTGGAGACCGTCAGCACCGAGGAGGGCGTCATCTCCACCCTGACCATCAGCAACATCGTGCGAGCCGACTTCCAGACCATCTACAACTGCACAGCCTGGAACAGCTTCGGCTCCGACACGGAGATCATCCGGCTCAAGGAGCAAGGTGGGCCGCCCGCTGGGCTAGACCAGCAGGCCCTCCCCACCTAGGGCAGGGCCCTGGCCAAGCCTGCCGGGCCTGAGGGGGCAGTCGCCTCTCGGAGGCTACAAGCTGGCTGGGGCCCAAGGACACGGCTCCTTCTCACTTGCCACACAGCCTCAGGCAGGTCAGCAGAAGGACCCCATGGTTGCACCCCAACCCTACACAGCCTGCCCTAGCTAGGAAGCAGAAGGAAAGAAAACAGGGCAGAGTGGTGCCCCGAGGGCCACGGCCCAAGAGAAGCGGCCACAAAGCTGACAGTCATCCCCGTGGCTTCCCTGAGGACCTGGCGCCCCACTCAGCATTTCCGAGGCGGGCCCTGATCTGCCCCAGACCACCCTCGGGGCGTGGAGCCCAGTGAGCGGTGGTGGACGCAGGGAGCTCTGCATAGACGTGTTGGGGAGCCTGGTTCACCCTACTAGACAACAAGCATGGCCCATTACGCAGAAGTCGCCCAGAAGGTGTCTCTCTGAGCTAAGGGTGCCTCGGCTGTTCCACCCGGCCACGTGGGGAATAAGCTCTGACCATCTGCAGTACACCGAGGGCCACGACCTGTGGCCCTCTTGGTGTGCTCTGGGGCCACTGGCCGAAGGCTGCCCTGGGCAGGACTCCAAACACAGAGGGAAGACAGGGTGGAGAGGGTTCACCCCACTGTGTGTGCAGATGTGGGGAGCTAGGTGGGGGTGGGGTGCTCCCCAAGAGCCCGACAAGCAGCCAGCAGCATGCTGGGTCCTGACACAGGCTGCAGACTTTACCCCTTCTCCTCGGGGATTGGTTTACTGTGGACCTAGTGGTCCAGGGGGCCTGGCAGTCTCTGACCCCCTTCACGAGGAAGGCCACCCACAGGCTGTCATGCCCTCCCACCCCTCCGCAAGAAATTCTGAGCCTGGCGACTAGTCCCAGCTAGGTCCCTGGGGGGGGGTTCGGGATCCTGTGCATCACAGCACCCCCCAATCCCCTTCCCTAACAGGAGCTGCTTTGCATAACGCTTTGCACATACTTTGCATAATTCATCCACACATCATCACCAACCTCCCAGTCCCCTTACTCACCCTCTGTGTCTTCCCCTTGACGCCCTCACCCTCTTCCCCACCCCAGACTTGACTTCTCTCTGGTCCCTACCCCTCTGGCCTCTCTAAGTCGGTCTGAAGGAATTACAAGCTCACTTGGGTTAGCCTGGTCCTGTGGGTGGTCTCAGAGACATGATGGAGAAGGGAGCCCCTCACCCCAGGCCCCTCTGGACAGCGGTGCCCCAGCCCCACCCCACCCTGGCCAGCCAGGCCCTGGCTTTGGACGCTTGCTTTATTTCCAAACAGGTTCGGAAATGAAGTCGGGAGCCGGGCTGGAAGCAGGTACGGAAGGAGACATGAGAACTTCCCGGGATGGGGGGAAGGGATCTCTGGGCTAGTGGGGGACGGGCCCACAAGGGGGCAGGGAGGCCTGTGCAGGCCACTAACTTCCCCACCCTCCCCCTTCTCGAGGGGTTAGTGCAGTCAGGGCAGCCGGAGGGGCCCCCAGCCAGCCTGGGTCTAGGGACCCCAGAGACCTGTCTCCTGTGTCAGTGACCAGGCCCCACAGGCTCCTTGCTCCCCAGGACCCTGGCTCTTGCCCCTCTCCCTCCATCCCTCCCCCCCACCCCAGAATCCCTGGCTCCTCCCCCTGGGGTCAGCTCACCCCTGGCGTGCCCTCCCTCTCTGTCCAGTTGCTCCTGGCTGTTCCTGCTCTTCACCCAACATCCACCAGCTTGGCCATCATGTCCCAGAGCTCCAGCCCCTGAGCGGCCTGCGTACTCCATGCCAATCTCCGCTCTCTCCTTGCTGCCTCCTCCCTGCTCCCTCAGTCCCTGTGCATTGCCCTGTCACCGCCAGGTGGCCACTGCTGGGCAATGCCTCCCTCCCCAGGCTCCAAGCAGCAAACCAGTTTCCCGCTCCTGGGTTGAGTTGCTCTCAGCGGCCGAGGCTGTCAGCTTCCTCAGTGAGTCCCTTGTGGGACCACACCCCTCCCCCCCCATGCACAGCTGAATCAGAGCCCCGGGCCGCGAACAGGCCAGCTACCCCAGCTAGCCACCTCCCGCATGACTCTCGGACACCCCTCAGACCCCCTCCTTGGGTGTCCCCTTTGTGTCTGCATCTCACCTGTGTCTGTTCACCCCATCTGGAGCTCCCTGACACCGTTCTCCTGGTGCCCAGCTACCTCCTTGGATGGAGAGGAGGTTGAGCGGGACATCGGAAGAGTGCACGGTCCAGGGCGCCAGCCTGCAGGGGCGGCCTGGGCCAGAGGAAACAGGAAGCCAGGCCAGAGGACACAGCCAGGCAGGTTGCAGGGCGCGGCCTCCCCACTCTCTGCTCCTGCCATGTTGGGGACAGTTCTCTTCAACTGATCCCTCCTCCCTTACCCCCTCACCTCCGCCCCCAGTTAACAAGTCAAAGCCAAGGGCAAAAAGTGCCTTAGATACCAAGTTCCTGCATCTGTTTGGCAGGTGAGACACTGAGGCAGGTCAGGGACCCTCCGTAGTCATTTTTAGTGCTGAGCTCGGCTGGGACAAGATCCAAGTTTTTCCAAGGAAACTTAGCAGGAATCTACCAGTATATTATATCAAACCTAAATTAATGAAATGAAGCACTAAAGAGCCATTGATCTCCAGAATAGTTTTCCTCTCCTAAAGGAATTAAAATCTGGAGACGGAATCATCCATTTATCAAAGCAGGCCCAACACGGCTGACTGCGCTCAGTCCCGGCTTCCTGCTCCTACTGGAGAGCAAACCCAACAGCTCCCATCATCCGCCCCCAGGGTTGTGCACCCACCTCCCCACCGTCCTCTCCCTGGCACCCCTCCGTGACCTCAGCGGCAGTGCCAGCACAACCTCACACATCCAGCACAACCAGCCAGCACACCGGCTCCTTCCTGGACCAGGGCGCCTGATTCTCCTCCCCCACCCGCCACCTGCTCCCGCAGCCCTCCAGGCCATGTTGGGGGTTCTCTTCCTCTCTTGCATAAAAGCAACCGTGAGAGGCTAACCCTCACCCATGACTGATACGTGTGGGACCAGCTGGGAGCGGGCGCAGTCTTTAAAGGGACTTTCCACACCTCTAAGCTTCTGCTTACAATTCCCACACAGTAACACATACAAATACTGAAGCAGGGCTTGATGCCAAATGCTTTTGTGCTTTTCCTGCTTTCAGTCACCCAAACCCCACAGCAACCCAGGACACTGTGCTGACCCCACTTTACAGATAAGAGGGTGCTCAGAAGAGATGGAGAGCCGTGAGGTTTGGGGTGCCATGTGGTCAGAGGAGGGCAGGATGGGTATGGGGAGGGTATATCCATGGGTTTCCCCTGCTCCACGGTAGCTGTGTGTCTTAAGTCACTTGGCTTCTCTGGACCTCGCTGTTTGCATCTGTAAATGGGAGGTTTGGACTCAGCGGGCCGCAAGCCACCCTGCTCCTATACCCTCTAGTTCCGTTCCCACATTAGGTGCTCAGCCTACCTAGGCGGCCACGGCAGAGCCAGGGCTACCTGGGAGGACACCCCCTCTCCCACCACCCTCCCGCCCCCTCTCTACTGGCCGAGGCAGGAGACAGACACAGACTGGGCAGGGAGTGAGGGTTTACTGGTCAGAGACCCAGGCCATCGGTGGGGAGCAGCGGCAAGAAGCCAGGGGGACTGGTCTCTGATAAGAGAGAGCAGGGCAGGGGGCAGGGGGCGGGGCGGAGGGGTCAAGGAAAAGGGGCATTTCTCCTTGAAGAGTTAGGGGGCAGCTGTGTCCGGCTCCCCTGGCCTCCTAGCCTGAGGCCTCTGGCAGCTCCCTCCCTGGTGGCCAAGCAGGCCGGAAGGGTGCCACCTCCCTTGTGTCTCTAGAAGCTGGTCTCTATGTCCATCGTCTCTGCACCTGAGAAAGGGAAGAGAAGAACAAACTGAGCAAACAAGGGAAGTGGCCATACTCGTTTTGCAGAGAAAAGCCAGGATTTATGACTCTTCAGTCTCTGCATGCTAGAATACGCCTGTTAAACACCCAAGGGTCCTCTCCTCTCCCCTGGCCCTCCCTTCTCTGTCTGCTCGCCTCCCTCCCCCATAATCACACTGTGTCTCCCCCGTTCCTTCACCCTCTCCTCCAGCCCGTGTCCCTCTTGAGCTGACCCCTGTTGGACTCTGCTTCTGCCTGCCCAGGCCCCGGAGGCATTTGCCAGGAAGATCCGGGTGCAGCGATCTGGCCCCAGCCTGGCAGGCGCTGCACCCAAGGGAACTGGGTGAGGTCCCGGGGGACAGCGGAAGGTCGGGGACCCCTCATCAGCTGTGCCTGCTTCTCTCCCACAGAGTCGGTGCCGATGGCCGTCATCATCGGGGTGGCCGTAGGAGCCGGGGTGGCCTTCCTCGTCCTCATGGCAACCATTGTGGCCTTCTGCTGTGCCCGCTCCCAGAGAAGTACGGGAGGGAGACCCGGGATCTCAGGGAGGGGGACAGAGAAAAAGGCCAGGCTTAGACTGCCCCGGAGAGCAAGTAAGCAGGAGTGCAATGGCAGGGCCCTACCGTGCTGTGAGCTGCTGGGACAGGGATGGGGTCTCGTGCATCTTTCTCTGTGTGATGCTTTTACGCGGCGTCCAGCCCGTGGTGGGCCCTGAAGTGACGCTCATCTAGCCTGAACTGAACTTCATCCGGCGGGGCGGTCCGCCAGCACTTTGGAATGAACACATGCAGCCCTCTCCCTCGGGAGCTGTGTACACAATCTGGGAGGGGGTGGGGGCGGTTTGATCCTGCCCCCCCAGGATCGGCCAGTCTAACCAGAAAAGCACATACCCACGCAGGGGGGTTTGGGAGGAGGAAGCACTCAAAGAATGGCTTTGTGCAGACTTTTAAAGGTCTTTAGTCATTAGCAATAAAAGTCTGGTCCTGGGCACAGCTCTGAGTTCATGCATGACAGACAGACATGCAGACGTGTAAAAGGGTGGTGGAGGCGATGAGGAAACCGTGGAGGCAGACTCTGGTCCTCCTCCCTACCAAGTGCCTGGAGCCAGCCGCTACTCCTGCCCTCAGTTTCCTCGTGGGTAATAGGGAGGGGTCGGAACACGTGACGTTGGTGACCCCCGCCCCTGTTAGCATTCTAGGAGCTTAAGGTACAAAATGAATAATCAGAGAAAGCCTCTCCCTCCACCACTGGCCGCCTCCATGAGTGGAAAGGAGCTGTGTGTTCCCCTGATTTCCTCTATCCCTGGCTCTTTTAACTGCCCATCACCACCACAGATGCTCTCAGGACCTCCCTCACCAGTGGAAATTGGGGGAAGGGGGGGCGCATACTCTAACAAAATTTCCTAACAGAATCTCCCAACTCTAAATCAGCCGCCTGCTCTAGAAGTCTACTTTGACATAGGTGCTAGACCGCCCCCTGTCAGGGTGTTCCTGCTGCGGGCGGGAGGTTGGTGTGGGGCTTAGGGGCCTTTCTAACAGTGACGTTCATGATCCTCTCAATGGAGAGGTCAGAGTTGGGTAGGAGAGGTCAGAGCAGACTTCCAGAAAGAGGTGGGAATGGGATAAGATGAAAAGGACCTGGTTTAGTAAGGAGGGGAATGGAATGAGGAATACGTCTTACGTCACAGAAGCAGCAGTGAAAGGCTGAGTGAGGTCTGTGCAACAAGGAGCCAGCAGACAAGCACTCAGGGGCCCCAACAGCCCACAGCACGACCAGACAGGTGCTCTATGGGTGGGGGAGGGGCATGAAGCTCTTGAGTTCAGGGGCGGAAGGGGAACTGTGGCGGTGGTGGCAGTGGCCGGGTGGCGGGAGTTTGACGTCTCTAGCCCTCCTGCCTGGGGAGGAGAACTGAATCTGTCAAATACACGTTCCTTTTTTATGTCCAGATCTCAAAGGGGTTGTGTCAGCCAAGAATGACATCCGAGTGGAGATTGTCCACAAGGAGCCTGCCTCTGGTCGGGAGACGGAAGAGCACCCCACCATCAAGCAGCTGATGGTAAGAACCCATGCTACTGCTACCCTCATCCCATCCCCTACCCCATGACCTGAAGGTGCAGAGGCCAGAGGTTGTTTCTTTTTTTGAAAGCTTATTTATTTATGCATATAAGAGCAGAGGGTGAGAGGATTCACCAGAGGCAGAGTGGGGAGGAGAACAGGCAGACTGACTGAGATACACTGCTGAGGGGAGCAGAGGGCAGGTCAGGAGAGGTCTGCTGCGCCATATGGGTCACCTCTCTGGCCGGGGATCCAACTCATGCTGCAGTGGCTGCAGATAGCTGCACAGTGCTGAGACTTAACCTGTTGTGCTACCAGGGAGAATGCCCCAGGGGTTCTTGATACCCTAGATGTTCCCTCAAAGCTGAGCATCAGTCAAGATGCACCCCCACACCCCCTGGTAGACCAGGCACCCACTTTCAGTCAACAAAGATTTACTGTGAGCTGATAAGACTGTACATGTTGTTCTAGGCTAGCACTCAAAGACACCTATAGATTCAGAGGCATCTAAAACGTGGCACCACCTTTTCAAGACCTGACTATCTGGTCAGGAGAGAATATGTGCATAAATAGCCATAATACATTATATATAAGATAATTCTGGACACATGCATAATTATACATTCAGTATTTGTCCCCACCTCACCAACCCCCCAATCCTTCCCCCCAAAAAAAAAATTGCAGAAAAGAAGCATAGGTTCCTCTTTGGGAACTGAAGTGTTCACCAGAAGTAGCATGTCACTTCCCCATCGGTCCCACACCATTCCTCCTTTTCCTGATGGCCACTGACAGACCGCCATCTACCCAGTTGTCCAAGCAGAAACCTAGGACACTGCACTATAAAGCCCTAGAGCATTCTTGCTGCACCATGGCAGTAAGATGTTGGAGCCATGACCTGGGGGTTAAGAGCACGGGCCTCTCTGTGCCCCCGTCTCCACATCTCTGAAGCAGGATGGCAGCAGTAATGAGCAGGGCTTGTGGGGGATGGGGGGTGTTAAATGGGATGACCCCTGAAAGCCTGAGCTGTGGAACAACACGGCTTTCAAGAAATGTTGGCGATTTGTGTTTCTCTCCAGTCACCTGTCTCCTTACCTGTCTCCACCAGATGGTGAGCAGCTGCCCTGCTCACCCCCCAGGGTGCCACCATCCTACCTAGTCCCTGGAGACATTCACCAGTGTTTATGGATTGAACTGGCCTTTCCCTCAGCTGCTCTTTTTCTAGCCAATTGATCTTCAGGCTCTGTCACTCTTCTGGAGAACATTTCTCAAACGTGCATGCCTGCCTCTACCCCGCCGCTACCTCCTCAGATGGGGCCTCATCCTGGCTCGCCTGGACACTTCCAGCAGCCCACTCAGTGGCAGCAGCACCCCAGTTTTCTGTCATTTACTCCAGCCCACCCCATGGTCCCCCAGAAAGGGTCCTGCTAAAATGCAACCAGATCCTGTACTATCCTCCTTCAAATCCCTGGGAGGAGTCTGTGTCTACTGGATAGTGTCCAGCTGCCCAGCATGTCATCAAGGCCCTTCATGGCCAGGCGGCTGCTGGCCTTTCCAGTTCCATCTTCCTGCCAAATGCATCAGTCCTCCAGACGCCCCAAAGAATTTGCAATCGCCGGCCTTGGAGTCTTTTACACCCCAGGGGTTTGGCTCAGGTCATCCCCTCTGTCTGTTGAGTCTGTCTGTTAAATTTTACCTTCTCCTATGAGAGTCAGCTTAAACGTCACCCTTCCTAATTCTCCATGTTTGTCCTCCACGGCTGACAGAGCTAGGCACTTTCTGTTCTCCCCAAATACTGCTTATTGCTCTCTTATAATGCATTGTTATAATTACAGGTCAGCTTCCCCGATTATCCCAGAGTTCTTCAAGCGAAAGTTCACACTCCCCAGTCTGTCTATTTCCTCTGGCCTGACACAGTAGATCACAAGTCTTTCAAAGGAGGAAGCCGCAGTTGAGACTGAGAGTGAACATCTCTGTAAATGAACTCACTCGAGTCTGGCATAGAAGTGCCCTCCTCAATGGGGCCTGAATTCCCTCCCATTGGGGTGTTCTGATTGCTTCAGGCCTTCTCCACACACCCTAGTCCAAACTCTCAGCAAAGAGGGGGGTGGCTCTGTAGTCAGAGCAGGGAGGTAACTGGCAGAAGGGCCTGCTTGGGGCTCCTTAGCTAAGCTCCCACTTGGAGAACCTTCTGTTCCCCATTTTCTTCACCCTAGACTCCCTCAGTGGCTCCTGACATAGAGGACAAGCAGGCTAAGGGTTAGAATCTGGTGGGAAAAACTCCAATCCAGAGCACTTACTGGCAGGTAAAAAAAAGCAGCATGAGACCCTCCGAGGTGGCACAGCAGGTTAAAGCACAGCACTAAGAAGCTGAAGCCACTTCTGCATGAGTTCGATCCCCCCCTACCCCGGAGGTGACCCACATGGCGTGGCAGACCTCTCCTGACCCGCCTGCTGCTCCCCTCAGCAGTGGACTTCATCAATCTGCCTGTTCTGCTCCCCACTCCATCTCTGGTGAAGCCTCTCACCAACCCTGTACCTCTGGCCTGTACCCCAATTTTGTATGCATAAATAAATAAACTTTTTAAAAAAGGAAAAAAAGCAGCATGAATGAGGCGGTGACAGGAAGGAGACACTCTGGCTGGATCCAGGGACTCTGAATAGTCCTGGAAAGCAAGTCGCAGGGGAGAAAAAGTACCACAGCTCAGTGAGAAGGGGGGGCACCTTGGCCCAGAGTATGTCATTTGCAGAAGTGACACACGGGAAACAACATATTGCTATAGGATAAGCATTGCTGTGGTGCTCCCAACTAATTAAAACACCCACTGGGTGAGGTAGGCTTTATTTTTCACCTTAAGTCTAATTATTATCCTAATTTTCAGTAAACTAGAATAGTCATTTAGAGCTATGCCTCTTCATTCTTTCCTCTGTCCAGTATAAACAAAACCTGTGACAGCCCTCCCGTACTCCAGGCACTGGAGAGGCGAAGGATTAATAAAATGCAATTAAATATGATTCAATTCCAAAAGCGTGTTGGCCAATGACCACAATTTTGTGCCAGATGTGCCAGGGACCCACAGAGAAACAAGAGCAGTCCCTGCCTGCAGGCTCTTTGGCATCTGTTAAGGGAAATAATTTTGGGTACATCTAAGTCACTGCTGTGAAGAACAGGTGTGGCTCAGGTTGCCAGTACCTCACAGGTATTATTCATGTGATTCCTTCTGAAAGGCCTTCATTATGTCTAGCACTGCCTGGTGAACTGCCCCCAGCTGTGCCCAGTGATCGAGAGTCTATAATTATTTATCCATAGACCCATCTCCCTGATGAGCCCAGATCATCTTAATCTTAATCACTGTCTGTCTACACAGTGCCCAGCCCAAAATTCAGTAAATGCTCGATGAATTGCACTGAATCATCTTAGTGAGCTCTCTGCAGGTGGGTCCCTAGCTCAAGTGGAGAAATGCTATCTAGCCACCTGGCCCCATCCCTCCTGTCCCTCCTGACAAGCGACCAGGTACAAGGACCCCTCAAACGTCCTCCTGACCACTTCACCTGCCTTCATTGGGCCAGGCACTGAGAGCCATGGGGGCGAGCTCCGTTTGAGTTCATTTCTCCATTCTTTCATTGGAGGAAGTAGTTTATTTAGCCTGCTTCCCGTGCGCTAAGCAGCTGTTTTGGGGTTATAGATGGACCGGGGCGAATTCCAACAAGACTCGGTGCTGAAGCAGCTGGAGGTGCTCAAAGAAGAGGAGAAGGAATTTCAGAACCTGAAGGTACGAATAGCCGAGGTGACAGGACACAGCTGGCCTCAGTTCTGACAGCCCAAGCCCCTGACCCAGTGGCTGGATAGAAGTCAGAGGTCACCTTGGGGACAGGAGCCTGTCTTCTCCTTTCTGTGTGACACACCCATGCCAAAGGCACCTGCTCTTTCCCCAACACCAAGGAGGGAAGGAGGGAAGATGCAGGTCTGCCAACCCCTCTCACAGTCTCCTTCCAAATGAATTTAAAAATCAATTTCCGTGTCCTGGACAAAAGCAAAAAGCCACTAAAGTCTGCAAATCACATGACTCCGCTTTGCCCTCACATAATGAAACAGACCCAGTGGGGCACCCTGCCCCCAACGGGCCCAGCCCTCTCTTGTTGGTGTCCCCTCCCAGGCAATCCTTCCAGCACACCCCCATCTCTCCCTGCTTCCTTCTGTCCTCGTTCCCTCTTTCAAGGTCGAGCTGGTCCTGGCTAGAAAGCACCCCCAGCACCCCCACGCGCCCCCACATCCACCCTCGCCAAGGTCCGCGGAGGCTCCACCCACCGCGCTTACGCTGTTCCAACTGTCCCCACCCCAGGACCCCACCAATGGCTACTACAGCGTCAATACCTTCAAAGAACACCACTCGACCCCCACGATCTCGCTGTCCAGCTGTCAGCCCGACCTGCGTCCCGCGGGCAAGCAGCGAGTGCCCACGGGCATGTCCTTCACCAACATCTACAGCACCCTGAGTGGCCAGGGCCGCCTGTACGACTACGGGCAGAGGTTTGTGCTGGGTATGGGCAGCTCGTCCATCGAGCTCTGTGAGCGGGAGTTCCAGAGAGGCTCCCTCAGCGACAGCAGCTCCTTCCTGGACACACAGTGCGACAGCAGCGTCAGCAGCAGTGGCAAGCAGGACGGCTACGTGCAGTTCGACAAGGCCAGCAAGGCCTCCGCGTCCTCTTCTCACCACTCCCAGTCCTCTTCCCAGAACTCCGACCCCAGCCGACCCCTGCAGCGGCGGATGCAGACTCACGTCTGAGGAGCCGACCGGTGCGGGGGGGTGGGGGCGGCAAGGGCTGGGGAAGAGGCCTGGAGGCCAGGACACATCCCGGCGCTCCAGAGACTAGGTAGGGGTGCTTTGCAGAGGACCTGCTGTCTCCAGGACACCTCCAGTGCCTCTGCGGACACCCCTTCCGAAGCCCTGAGCAAGCACAAATCTGGGTCCCCCGCTGCAGTGTGCCGGAGGCTTGCAGGTGGGAGAGCACTTACAGGGTGCAGCTGAGGGTGCTGCGTGCTGAACAGTGGGGTCCCCAGCAAGTCCCTGAGGCCCTGCCACGCCCTGCACCTCCCACAGGCACTAGAGGCAGCTATAACTTTGCTTTAATGAAACTGTGTCCACTTTCTGGGGTCCCCGGGGCTCTGCCCTGGTTGCGCCCAAGCCCTACACCCGCGCTGTGCTCCTACAGAACCCTGGGGGCGAGCGGGGCAGAGTGCTTCCCAGCACCGAGCTGCCCCAGAGACCCTGGCGCCCCCTGCTGTTCACAGCCCAGACCCCGGAGGCCGAGGAGCCAGAAACGGCCCAGGAGCGCCTCCCACCGTTCGGGCTGGAGCCCACCCCTCGTGTTTGGTGTTTTGTGTCCATGCTCTTGCACTTCTGTCCTTGGACTGGATGCCTCTGAATTCTCAGTGGGACTGGCCCAGCGAGAGACTGGTGTTCCGCAGGGAGCGGGAGGGGAAGGAGGGGGAGGGTGACCTGGGAACAGCTGACCCATAAGCCCCGTCTCAGGCTGTGCCACTCAGAGCCTCCCCGCACCACCAACCCCCTGGCTTCATGTACTCCCTCCCTCCTTGACGGCGTGGTCACGTTAATATAAGGAGTGCAAGAGCTTCTCTGGCTAGGGTTCTTTAAACAGCCATGGGAGAGAGTGTGTTGGGGGAGGGAGGGAGGGTTTGAGGGCTCGAGAGATCAGGTCTTTACTGAAGCTTGGGGGGACTAAGTCTGCACAAGGAGCAATGGTCCTGTCTTCAGCCAAACTCCTCAGACAAGAAAGTACACCCACACCTGTCCCACCTACACCCACACCTGCCCACCTGCTAGGGGAGAATAAAGGTTAGGGCCTTTACGCCAAAAGCTCTGTCCTGTTCTTTTGTACCTGCAGAGCCACAGGAGGAAAGCAAGAGTCAGAGTGTGTCTGGGAACCCAGAGTTCTTTGGCCTGCTTTGATCCAGATTTCCTGGAAAATGAAGGCAGTCCACAGCTCTGGTTGTGGTGGTAATAGGAACCTCGCCAGCTCTTTGTGGCTGTGCCCAACCCAGAGAGCAGGCAGCAGAACGCACCAACCACCTGCCTCATGCCCAATGCAGTACAGAAGCAAAGTGATCATTCAGGGCACTGGAGGAAGTCATTCTAGGCCTTTCTCTCAGCATATTCTGCAAGGACAGCACCCTCCTTTAAGGGCTCAGGGAAGGAGACCCGCTTCTAAGAACCCATGAGCAGCAAGCATGCTCACATGCTAACAGGAGAACAAACTATGTTCTGAGAAAGGCCATGTTTGGGTGAGAAGCTTGATGTAGTGGTGCAGATGGGATGGGACTTGGGGAAACAAGTAAATTTAGGGAGCAGGGTTCAAATGGAACTTTGGAGAACCCAAGTTGCCCCTGAAGTTGGAGGTTCCTCTTAAATTTTAGACCCTTTTCCAAGCTTACCCAGGAGACCCCACTCATCATGGCATCTTCATCACGAAAGTCTGTGCTGTTCTCCATGCATTGACTCCTGGGGTGGCTCCACCCACAGATTACTATATATAACCCCCGTCATGCCTCCATCCAGAGGGGATTTGTACTTATACAATATTTCCTATTGCTTCATAAGTCCCGGCCCTTTAGATAACTTCCTTTTCAGCCCCCAAGCCCAAGGGAGTAGAAACTGATGAGAAATATAAGTGTATATGCCAGGCCCCCATATCTTGATCCTAAGTACATTTTGGCCCCTGTGCTCTCTAGGTTAAACTTCACAAACCTTCTTCTTCCCTATGTATGTTTACCCTGGGAAACAAGGGCGAGATCCAAAATACAGAGATAGCACTAGAGGATAACTTAAGAGAATTTGTCCATTAATTTCTCCTGGTCTTCCCCTCCTTGGAGATGGGTAGAAAATCTGCCACCCCTCTTCAGTACAGCCCAGCTTGCCATGGCCTCCTGCCACCCACACACCTCTCATTGTAGAGTGACAGTACCTCTTCTTTCTTAGAACTCAAGAATATGACAGAATAACCAGAACAGGGGAGAAAGCTGTACCCCCATAAAAGAGAATGAACTCTTCTCCCCCCACCCCACCCCAGGCACTCCCAGGGTAAGAATGTGGACCATTATTAAAGACAGGCAGAGCTCACAAGGGCTGCACGGTTGAGGTCAACACACACCCCCTCACCTGCCCCAGCCCTCATCACAAATAGAACAAAGAATTGCTGGAGGGAAGGGTCACAGGTAAGTCCTCCTCAGAACACTGAGGAGGAAAATGAGCAAGATCTGGGGGTTTCTGGAATGCTGAAGCGCTGAGGAGCCCAGACTGAGTTCTGGCATTGCTCCATTATTTCTAGCTCTGTTCACGTCTCATGAAGGAGTGAGGGTACAGAGTAGCTGGTATAGGAGGTGTTAAAAAAAAGAAGAAGAAGAAGAAGTCAATGGGGAGCCCTGCAGCATTCCTTGTGGGAGATTTCAAAAGGAGTGCTTTATATTTGTTATCTCATTTAGTCCTGACCATCATACAAAGTGTCAACATTTTGAAGACGGAGGGATGAGATTTAAGGTAGCGAAAAGGCTCGCCCGAGGTCACAGAGCTAATAAGTGGCAAACAGGAGATTTAAGCACCAGTGATTTCCAACAGAAGAAGCTCCACCCCACTGTACAAACTCAAGGCCACTTCATACTGGTGTATGATGAAATGGCGACAGGAAAGCGACCTGCTGGCTCCCACCGTGGGGCCGGCCAAGTAGGAACAAGTCACACAGCTCCATTAGAGAGGCTCGATGATACGTCCCCAGATGTCCTGGAAAGACCACAACTCCCTGGGAAACAAAGCTATTCTGTGTATCAAGTCACCCTCACCTCTACCAAGGCCAGCATCCAGTTTGCTGATAGCTTTAAAATTCATTATTGGCGTGGAGTTCCTGGCCGGGAGCCCAGTTCCGAATTCTCAGGCTCACTATCGTTCTGGAAAGGCCAGGATTGTTTCCACCACCTCTTCAACGTTCATGAATAGGAAGTGCTCTCACATGAAGCGCTAGAATGCCACCTCGGATCTCTGTGTGACGAAGCCTGTTGAAACAAGGGCGCTAAAGCAATAGACATGGAGGCTGCCTTGGAGTTTCCGGAGTGGAAAGGACGAGGGGAAATAAAAACAAATGTGATGCAGTCCTTGGGAGAATTCTCAGAACCAGAGAAAAGGAGCCAACAGGAATTTGTGTCTTGCTTCCTGTATGGGAAGGCCTGTGTGCTGCCTATGGGTTTGCTAGCTTGGAATCAGAATGGAAATTCCAAGGTACACATTTTGCAAGCTCCTTTAGCTCTTTCCAAGGCATCCTGTGTGGGCTGGTTTATGATGACACTAGAAAAAAAGAAGACCAAAGGGCATTCTGCAGTTAGTCTCTTCTTTAGGAAGTCTCCCTAGTCCATAAACTCTTTATGAAAATAAAAGTATAAACATTTCAATAAAAGCTATCTTAATTTACAATAGATTTTCATTGAAATTATCAGTTGTGTGCCTATTTAAAACATAACCTAATGACATCGCAACTTAATCTTGAATTTTACCTTCCCTCTTAAAAAGTTCTTTTAACAGAACTTAGGCTGTTGCTGTTGTTTTTAGAAGATGTAAGAATACACCAACCATTTGCAGCTTTAGCACAAAACAACCACCATCTTTGAGAATCACTGATAAAGGGTTTTCACTCAGAAGTTGCTCTCATTTCCAGAAAGGCTCCAATCATCTTTCCCCCCATGTCTAGGGTTCAATCTTCTTAACTTCGTCATAAACTGGGGGGCGGGAATGGGAAAATTCCAAGCTACGATTCTTTCTAAAAATAAGGAATTGTTTTCCTGGTGAATATATTGTTGTTTCTGAGAGAGGAGGATCATCCATCTTTCCCGCTATAATTGCTCTTCTTCCTGGGTCCAGAGTCCTTCGTGAGGACTGGGTCTTAAGTTACTCAACGGTCTCTACTTTTCTTCTTACTACAACCCTCGTCTATAAAAGGCACTGAATTGTGTAGACCCCTGGTGCCCGGGAGCTGCCTGCCCCTAGGACAGTTCCCACAGCTCTCCCACCCTGCACTACCCAGTGGCTGAAAAGTCCCTTGAGCTCAATGCTCAGGGAGCACTATCACACGCAAAGGCATCCTGTTTCACCGCTTCTTCACCCACGGCGCTTGGAAATAGTGTGGAAAACAAAGTTAAATTTCAACTCATGATCATTCTAAATTTTCTTTGTGGTGAATCTAAAATATGAATGTTTAAAGAGGAGCTAGGTGAAGTCTCAGGATTAAGGTCTTCTTTGGGAGAACCGGTTCCTAGAAATGGAGCTTTTCTGATGTCTAGGAAAAGGGCTATTTGGGGTAGTGGCTGAATATGGGAATTTATCCCCTGAAGGCCACTCCCAATTAGGCAAAGACAAGGTGAAGTGGACTCAGTCAAAGATCCTACCTTCACCACCTTTGAAAAGAAATGAGAGCCTGAGCCTAATGGCCCAAGAACTAAAAGCGTATCTGTAAAACTAATGGGCAGTGCTCTTGGGAGAAACACTGAATGAAGAAATTAAAGCGTGGTAGAGATTCGGGACTTCCAAAGCACAATTTTCAGACTAGAACCACCTATCGGACTTTTAAAGATACTCTCGCTTTCCTGTCATGTGGAGTTACAGAGCTGGAACAGGAATCTACAGAGGAAAAACAGAGAAATCTCCCTACCAGCCCCTGACGTGCTCTTGTGATTTTACTTTTCCTCTAGAGAGAAACAGTTTGCTAAGCAAGTAAAGGCAACTCCTCAAGGGTCCACGATGTATGTAAACAGTGTTTTAGGAAGCCTCAGAATAATGGATGGCGCTGGAATAGCTTAGTTCAGAAATTCCAACTTCGATCCCCTGGGGTGATTTCAACATCCAGCCTTCTCTTATTTCCTCAGCCTAACTCCACCCTCCCAGGCTTGCAAGATTCTTGACTGGAAGCCTTGCCTTTTTGAGGGGGTGGAGTACTTTAAATATTGGTCTTCACTGGGAACCTGAAATCTACACAAATCCCCTGTGCTCACCCTTTAAAACAGGGCTGTAGTGTCTTCCCATATATGCCCAACTCTGCAGTCCCTTTACATGAAGAAATTGAGTCTCCAATACTATCTAGTAAATCTGACATTTAGTAAGATTCAAGCTTCTTCTCCACACCTTATTTCTTGGGTTTAGGTCCCCAAAGATTGAGAGCTAAACTAGAGAAGGAAGTGTCCCGGAACTGTCCTATAACACAAAAACAAACACACATATCTCTCCTGCAACTTTTTAGTTAGAAAGATTTTGTTTCAGGGTCATAGGAATATTCAAAATTAATACGGCTTTTCAAAGAGGCAACTCACATCAGCAAGGTTAAACCTTTGAAGGAGAGATCACCCACAGTGAGGTTTTACTTCTCAATCTTAGTTTAGGAACGTAGTTCATAGTTCATAGTTAGGTATGTTGCATGCCATCAACATAGTTAATCTTCCCTACCACCACCCCCAACAATTGCTTTTTGAAAAATTCCCTTAAGGTGTCTGACTTCAGCTTGGAAACCACTGCCCAGAGCAGTTGGAACTCACTGTTCATTGTCTGATTATGCAAAGCTTGCATTTGAGTCATTTCTCCCAAGTCTTACCTTCCCCTGCTAAACATGTGGGGGATTGGAAAACAAAGGCTTTCCTGTAACCAGTGGGATTGCACAGTGCTGGGACTGACTGTGCAATATTTGGCCCTCCAAGATGTATCTCATCTGTTTCATTGGCTCTCCAGTATGCAAGGTAGTTGTCCTTGCATATTTATATACATTACAGTCTAAAACTGTTTTTACAGCCATATTCTCATTAGATCCTTAAAATCTCCTGTGAGGTAGGCATGCATAATCACTGCTTTGCAGATGGGGATGCAGAGGTTTATTTGGTCAATTCAGTAACCAAGCAGGGGAGAACCAGGGATCCCACCGACCACATTTTGTGTGCACTGCACCTTGCAGCCTCAAAGACAGAACTGTTTCCAGGTTCAAACTGTTGGTAGCTAATCTTTGGGTGGGGGGTAGCAATCGGATGTACATATGTCCTAGGAAAGTGTAAATAAAAACCCAAAGTGTGCAAAATTACGGCACACCATGTGATGTGAACACAGACTATCATTTAAATATGTTCCTGGGCCAGGCAAAAGGCCAGACTGTCTAGCCCAGCTGGGTACTTGAGCTGGGAGTCCCTTCCCTACTCCGGGCCGCAGCTTTCCCTCTGTGGAGGAGGACTGGACCGTCTCATCGCGGCCTCTGCAGCGAATCCAATTTCGATTGCGCGAAGGAAGCCTAGTTCTGTAAAACGCTGGACGAGAAACTGCTCGGCGCGCAGACCGGAATAGTGGGGCGCACACCCCACAGCCCGCCCGGATCTTCCTATGCAGCTGTTCCTAGGCCCGGAGCCGGTTGCCAGGGAGGCGCCGGCCTCCGAGGAGGCGAAGCGCCAGGGTCAGCCTCCTCGCCCTCCCCCCGCGGCCGAGAGGCCTCCGGGTGGACTGCGGGAGGTCGCCGCTAAGCTTCAGCGGTCCGGGCCGAATTCACACCGCAGCCAGGGAGAGTCCGGCGCCCGCACAGACCACGCATGCGCGGCTCCGCCTCCGCCATGGGCGAGGGGCGGGGCCAACCCCTCGGTTGACGGAAAGCCGCGCTCGCGCCTAGTTGACGGGTCTCAAGGACACCCAGGATTAGGACGGGCTTTGCTCTCAGACCAGAGAATTGAGAAAGGCCCGTGAGATCATCCTGGAGTCTAGACTATTAGAGCGGCAGTTCTGGGGACTTGTTAAAATTCCAGATTCCTGGACCCCAGCCCCGATCCATCCTGGGCCAGACCCTAGAATCTGCATCTGAAGCTGACCGTTTTGCTTTAAATGGTCCTCATAGGCTAGACCCGCCCTCGTTTCAAGCAACGTAGCACACACTTGGAGACATGATTGGCCTAAGGTCGTACAACATTAAGTGACACAAACCAGATTTGCTGATTTGCACCCAGGCGCTTCCCCCTTCCCCTCCTGCCTCCTTTCCAAGGCATGGTTTAATCAGTACCAGCAGGCTGGCAAGCAGCCTTTCACACTGTCTGGAATAATGAAGAATGAAAGGCCCTTTCTCAGAACACCAAAGACTCGCATCCAACAACTTTACAACTCCACTCCCAGCCTGACCCTTGCCAGCGCTGCTGCAGTCTACAGAGGAGCATGGGCGCTGGAGAAAGCTAAACACCCTCTCGACCCCCACCCACCCCCACCAATGGGCATGGTGGGTGCATACACCCCTCTCCACACTCTTATCTGTGATCTGAGAATGAAAAATGCTCCCGTCTACATGCATGTGCACCAGTGTGTTAACAGTTTTGTTTTAGTGTGTAGTTGTCCTTTTTTTTTTTTTTTTTAATTTGGGGGTGGGTTATTTCTGACCTGTCCGTGTATGTTGGATTGTGGCTCAAGTTTAGACATATTCAGTAATAGCAGATGGCTCCCATCCAGGGCAGCTGGATCATAGGTGCTGACAGCCACTTTCCGTGGCCCTGGATAAAGAAATGGACACTCCCTTGCACACCCTCGAGAAGGAGCTGGGGAAGTCTCAGGAATAAGAAGAATTGAAATTACGCACACACACACACAAACAGCAGTCACACCCCTATTAAGAGTCCCCTCCCTAACCCCCACCTCCCACCCCTAGTCAAAGCCAGGGAGACAAAGCTTGACAAGGTGACGGGAAAGGGGCTTGGGGCTGCCCACGCTAAGACCCTGTTGCTTTCAGAATCCCCTTCCCCAGGCCAGCCCAGTGCCAGCACTGGTCCTCAGGACCAGTTTATACAGTTTATGGGATGCAGCTGGGTGTTCTCAGGGCCACACTGACACTGTCAAATAGCATATCATCGTCCTCTGTTCCTCAAATTGCTGCCCCTCTATAGAGGTCCCGTCCCCAGCCAGGCTGTCTCAAAGCCTCAAGGCTGCAGCTCCTTCCGAGAAAGCCAGGAACACAGCTGTGCATCCCATTCCCTATGGGGGAGTTCCAGCTCTTCCTCCTGGCTCCAGATGTAAAGGAACAGCTGTAGGAGTGGCAGAAAGCCCAGTTGGCAGCTAAGCAGAGCCTGGGAAGAAGAAGAACAAAGCAGGGCGAGACAGCAAATGGCAGGGCCATCACAGTTCTACAGACCTGGGAAAAATAACATTCTGTCCCCTAGCCCAGTGACAGGCTGACAGGACTTGCCAAATCCTTCAGGCGCTGTCCGAGCCCTGCCCATCCCAATCCTGGCAGCCTGGGCCACTGGCAAGACCTTCTATAAACTCCATTTTATGAAACCCACTTCATCTGAGAAAGGAAACTTGGCTTCCTTTGTCTGACTCCATCCCTGTCCTCAAACACACAGCTCCCAGCACCAGATTCTGGAAACCAAAGGTGCAGAAGGGAGTAGAAGAGGGTCCTGTCATTCCCATCTGGCCACCTTTTACCCCCCCCTCTCTCTGGGAGTCCACCGGGATGTAGGGTGCCAGCGTGTCCAGCACATAGGGCTACTTGGACCCCTCTGTTGGCCTCCTACCTCCGGGTAACGCTTGACTCGGCACTGAGCCTGACACTCAGTATTTCCTGAATGACCACGACCCGCTGTGTCCCAGTCAACGCTGGTCTTCAACAGGCCTGTCTACCCCCAGAAGAGGGACTCACTGCCATGTGCCACTGCCCCTCCTGGCCTCCCCGGCGTGCAAGTACCCAGAATAGCACAGCTGCTTCCATTTTAGGAAAAATAGTTTAATCATAAGTTTGTCATCTTTTTTCTAGATGATACCCTCCTCTGCATGGAACCTGCATACCAGTGCTCTTCCCAAGCCCGCTGGGAGACAGCAGTCCCTCATGGAGGCATCCACTCACTCCAGATGCCCCCACCCTCTTGGGAGGCTCTGCTCTGGCTCTAGGACTTCTTGGGCCCAGGAATTCTGAGAATTTATAAAAAGCTACAGAACACTGTAGTATGCTGCATATCCTGGCCATGGGGCCAGCCCACAGCCCTTTCTTACCCTTTCATTAAATAGTCCATTAAATAATCTCCGGTGCTGGCGGAGAGGGGAAGCCACAGCAGTATACCTTGTGCCTTGACTGTGCTCCCTCAACTCCAGGACCTGTCCTGGCTGCATCTGGCCTCTGAAGAGCAGCCGGGACATGGCCTTCTCTCACACATGGCTAGACCCGGGACTCCCTCCCCACAGAGGACAGACGGTGAGTCCAAACGGGTCACAATGGCACCGGGCACCCCTACAGCCATGGATGGGGGTCCCTCAGGCAGCAGAGTAGGCAGACTGAGTTACTTCTGCCCATGTCAGAAGTAAGTGAGGTTCTTCACTGCTCCAATTTCCAGCATCCGCTTAATAGCCAGGGCCTCCTGGGAGACATTGTGGCCTGACCCCTGTGGAGACAGTGAGGAAGGAAACTGTGAGGCATCCCGGCCTGCCCAGCGCCCCACCTGCGGGAGCACCCTCCCCAGCCCGGGAGCCCAGGTGTCTCAGTTCCAGCTCTCACTCTCTGAGTGACGGCATCACAAGCCACCTCCTGGCACCGCTCTGACACACTCACGTGTCCCCAGGCTGGCCCGCCCCACCCAGCTGACAAGCCGAGGCGGCCACTTACTGCCATGGACTTGAGCGTGATCTGCTCATAGTAGTGAATGGTCTGCTTCTTGTTGAAGGCGTCTGGGTAGCCAAAGCCAGCAATGTGCACCAGGTCACAGAGGTGCAGGGCCATGGTGATGGCCAGCAGGCCTGTGGTGGGCTTCTGAGGGACAAGGGATGAGGAAGGCATTAGAAGAAGCCCTGATCCTTTGGCCAGCTCCAGGCCAGGGCTCTGCAACAGACGCCCACGGCCACGGATCCCCACGGCTCCCCAGCATGAATGAAGCTAATACAGTAGAGCAACTGAATTCTCATTTTGTTTCATTTTATTTGAGTGAATGACATTTTAGCTTTCAATAGCCACAGGTGGCTGGTCTTTATCATGTGTGACAGATAATATGGGATAACACATGTAAGAGACACGGGCAAGGAAATGGAAAGTTCTGGGCCCCCAGTTATGAGACTCAGCATGAAGATGATACCAGTTACTTTTAAGCACTTACTGAGTGCCAGACACTATGCCAAGTATTTTACCCCAGGTCTCATGTGGGCTTCACAAAAAACAGTTTCAGGTAGAGACTCCTGGGAGTCCCATTTGACAGATGAGAACACTGAGACCTGCAACTAGGAAGCAGCTGTTAGAACCATAAGAAGGCTCTGCTCGCTTCCCTGGAGAACCACACCTGTTTCAGAGCACCTGGGGCTTGAACGCTCAAGGGCTGCATTACGGGCTGTCCCCTCATAAAGTGGGCAGCAATACTTCTCCTACCCACCTCAAGGGCTGCTACAAGGACCTCAATCCATCTCTAACTCACCCTCAGGAATGGGCTGCGTGATATCAAATCCTCTCAAATCTCGCCCTCCTCAGCTCCACAGCCTGCTCCCAGACCCCCTCAGCACTCACTTCCTGGACCTGGGCAGGCCTCCAACTGCTGGGTTTTTCCCAGCGTGGCTTTCTGACCTCCCTGTCATTTCATCTGTCACTTTCTGCCTGGGCCTTCTGTTGCACCCATTGCTTCTACCATCACTGTGTCATCTTGTCCATCACTGCATCATCTTGTCCAGTTAGACCATCTTGTCCAGTTAAACCACATTTCCTTTGCCTTCCAGTCAGCTCCTTAAATTTGTCAAGCTCTCTCCCCCTTGTATTTCCCATATTAATTAAACATAGCACCACCCGCCTAGTCGTTGAAGTTGGGAACCTAGAGTCATCACAAATCCCTCAATTTTACTTGAAAGAAATGCAGTAGCAAGAAAGGTCTGACATGACTCGGTGAGCCTTCCGTGGAGTGGGCCTGGAACCTGTAAATATGCTGAGCTCCATGCCGTCACATGACCTTGCTCTGTGCGACCCAGGTGACCCTAAACTAGGGAGATAATCCTGGTGGGCTTCACCTAATTACATGGAGGTTAACATCTTGGCTTAGAGAGAGGCAAGGAGGAACACACACTGAGGAGTGCTGTGTTTCTGGACAGAAGGAGGGGCCAAACGGTAAGTGATGTGAGCAACCTCTTAGAGTGAGCCCCACCTGACCCACCGCACCCACCCCTAGGCTGAAAGCCAGCAAGGAAAATAGGACCTCGGGCCTGCAAAAACAGGAAAGTGAATTCTAAGAAGGAGCACCTTGGAAGGGAATTTCCCCCTCCAGACAAGAACCCAGTCCAAGGCTGACCTTAATGTCAGCCTTGCAGACCCCCAGGAGAGAGTTCACCGCCTGTGCTGGCTCTAACCGCAGAACCATGAGCCGGTAAGCTGTGTGTTGTAAGCCATCAAATGTGACCATTTGTTAGGCTGCAATAGGAAACCAGCACAGACAGCACATCTGTCCCTGTCTTCCTTTGCACTTCCTGCCACCAGGAGCCCGGGTCTGGCCCCTACCTTCTTATGCCCAGCTTCCTGGCCTTCACTCAGCCTCACACTCCATCAGGGGTGCCGGGGGCAGCTGTCTGGTCTTAGCAAATGAAATACTTTCTCCTGATCCTCAAGACCTAAGCCAGTACCACCTCCTCCGGGGAGGTTTGGGGGGGGGGGTGGGACTTCCAGACTGCTCCAAGCAGAGATCTGTCCCTCCTCTGAGATCCCAGGCACTTGAACAATCTCTGTTAGGGCAGCAGATCACTCCCTCTGCAATCTGTATCTTTATTCTGTGAGACCGAGTTTCCTTTTCTGCCCAAGTATGCAAGCTTGAGGCCTGGGACTGAGCAGTCAGAAAAGCAAACATTCAACATGTAAAGGTGAATCATACTGGATCCTGAGTAAAGAATAAGATTATTTATTCAAAATTGGCAACTCCCCTGAGCATCCACTGTGTACTGATCTCTGTGTTAGGCGTGCCTGATTACCTTTTTTAAGCCTGTAATAGCCTTATTATGATCCCCACTATTCCAGATCACAAAGTCTGCACCCGAATCCAAGCCGAGTTCTACCTGTGTGTGCCAAATGTCTCCATCCACTACCCACACAGCTCAGAGCTGTCCATACAGCACCTGAAGGGCTCAATACAGAAGCTCAATAGTAAGGTTGGACCCACCAGCCAAAGACCACTAGGGTTTGCAAACCCAATCTTGCAAACCTGTACCACAACTCCCCAAATGGACACATCTGCCAAGCCATAACACACTATATGGACTAAACTCAAGCTGTCTTAACTCACCCAGACCAGCGCGCTCAACGATAAGATCGCCGATACAGTGAGCTAAGTCACTGTAGGGTTTACAGTTGTTACAAAGATGAGACGTGGACTGTCCTAGCAAGCCCCAGCTTACAAGATCTCACCAACCAACACCATCCTCTAACTCCAGCTTCCAGGCCCTAGAGATGCTCTTCCCTTGGCTTTGGAGCCAGCCACAACCACCTTTACAATTCTGATTCCAGGCCTTGCTTGCAGGTTGTGGTCTGCAAGATTTCACTGTGCTATTCAAATGCAAGTTGCTGGGGTCCTCCATGGCTTTGGAGGACTCTAGAAGTGCCCCACCTACTCTCCCCCTCCCCCAGCCCCCCAGCAGTCTAGCTGCCCACTATCACCTGCTTAATCTTGCGCGGCTGCTGCATTGGCAGGTTCAGCAGTTTGTCTGCTGCAACCTCCATAAAAAAGGGGTTGAGAATCCGAATCTGTTTGGGGTTGACATCCCAGATGAGGGGAGGCTGTTTCCAGAAGCCCTTTCGCACCTACAGGCATGGAGAGGGAAGAGAAATGGTAGTGATGAACACCTGTTTCTGAACCCAGTCTGGTGGTCTCAGCCAGGGTTGGGGTCCATGTGATGGCAGAGGCCCTCACCAGTGCAGGTGAAGAAGGGGGGGCAGAGGAGAGGCACAGGGAGAGGATAGGGGGCCAACCACTGCCATTCTGGGAGCTGTCCACGCCGGTGAAGTTTGGAGCTATCTAAGCACTTGTTTAAGATGCCAGACTGGAAAGTTCAGCGTTCTGATGGATGACCAAGAGGCACAGTAGACTTTCTGGGGATTGCCTAGAAGATCTCGATTGTTCTAAACCCCCACTCCTACCCACTCCACCTACACACACACACACACACACACACACACACACACACACACACACACACACACACACACCCTTCCCTAGCCTGGACACTACTCCTTATCAGTTCCCCTGCTTCCAGTTTCTCACTGGCAAACACACTTTCTGACAACTTTCCTGTCCCTGTCAGCCCTCAAGATTGGGGTGCCCTTGGCTCCTGCTACCTGATTCCTGCAGGCTGCTGTGGCCCACAGGAGCCCTCAGAACACCAGTTCACACCTCCCCCTTTAGGACTGTAGGCCGAACCCCCGCTCCTGCCCAGGCTCCCTGCTTACCCGCTTCTTATCACGCAGGATGGTCTCGATCCAGTGGAAGTCCATCGCCTTGAAAGCCACCAGGACGAGGAGAGTGTCAGGGTTGTTCTCTACTTTGGGGTTGAAGTGGGCAGACTCGGGGTAGAAGAGGCGCATGGTAGTCTTGGAGCCCACGTCACCCTCGTAGCCAGCCACCGGCGCGTTGTTCAGCCTGGTGGGGAGGGGTGAAGACGCCCATCACCCAGCGCCCCACCAGGGCTGTCTACAGCTGCTCCCAAACAGAAGAGGGAAGGGTGGGCCACACAGACCTGATGACCACGTCGTATTTGTTGATGGCGTCGCCCAGCGAGCTGTTGCGCAGTCGGTGCCCGTTCCCCACCACCACGCAGCGGCGACACTTCAGTCTGCGTGGGAAGAGGATGGCCAGGGTCAGACGCGACCCTGCTCCGCTGAACTCTCCTGCCCGGGCCTGGCTCAGAATCAGTCCCCTCCCAGGCCCGTTCATTCTCGGTTCCGTGGACCAGGCAGGTCCAGGGAGCCCTGCTTTTGACCCTGGTGACTCATCAGCTCTGGGCTGTCAAAGGAGAGGAAACTGAGCAAAGCACAGAAGACAGGAGAGGAGGGATGACACATGGGGAGGGGCACCGATAAGAAACCCCATTTCAGACTCCCTCGTGGGCTGCCCAGGCCTGCTGCCCCAGTGATATGCTCAGAGCGTCTGCTTGCTGGGGACACAGATGGCCAGGTCTCGGTTGCTGGGGGATGGGTGGGCCTGTGCCCCCTCGGTCAGGCAGACTAGGGAGAAGGGGCAACTTGGCCACAGGGAACAGAAACGGGGGCTCACTGGGAGGTGCTAGGCCATGACTGCTACACGGGGTGGGAAGGAGAAGACAGGGTGGGAGGGAGTCGCCTCACCTCTGGATGCTCTCGGGAATGGAGTAGCTGGTAATGGCCAGGACCCGGAGAAGCAGGTCTTCTACAAAAAGAATCAGGCGGGAAGAGTGGTGACGACAGCTAGCACCCCAAAGGCAGCCAGCTCTGCCTCTGCTGCCTCGAGAGCCTGGCGGCCTGCCCCGACTCTGCCCCCGTATCTGAGCCTGACTTAGAACTTGGGCACCCAGACCACGAGGACAAAGAACAGAAAGCAGTGTGGCCAAGGTGAGTCCACCGTTCCAACAATGCCAAGTGGGTACCTACCACTCCCTTTGGTGCCATAGGGCAGCTCGTAGGCTGAGGGCGTCTTGACCCAGAAATAGTCCTTAAGCTGCAGGAAGATGGGCTGATCTCGTGAGTAGCTGCACAGAGATGAAAGCAGGGTGGGGATGAGAAAGGGATTAATTTCAATACTGGACTCCAAGTCAGGCCCTGACTAATGTAGATAGATGTCCAAGGGCTGCACCCCCACCCCTCACTGGCCCAGCAAACCCCTGTCCACAAACAGGGCTCCCCTACCCCATACCATGATCCTCTCAATACTGGCTCACCCATGCCCTGTTCTGCCCCCTCAGACCCAGGTTCTTACTTGCCAAAGAGCTTAGAGACCTTCCTCTCCGCCTCACCCTGTAGGCATGGCTCCTTCTTCTCTGGGATGGGAAAATAAAAACTGGAGACAGAACAGGAGGGAGCCAGGAGCTCCAGTCAGACCTCACCGGCTCAGGGCCAGCATCCCAGGCAGCCTCCGCCCTCTCCCGCTGTGCACGGGTCCCCAGGGCCCAGACAGCAATTCGCAGGGTGAGATCATCTCAGCCCAAGTTCCGCTCCGAAGCCAGATCACTGTGGATCCAGTTCTTCCTTCTCCCAAATTCTGGGTGAGAGTCTAGGGGAGTCATCCTAGACTCTACCCCCAAGCCCACCACCCACCCACTGGAAGGATTCAGAGGCCAAAGGGAGACGTCACGCTCTGGCGCTGTGATCTGACCTGCCCTGCGAGCCCTCCGCCCTACAATATTCCGCTCAAGCCCTGTTCCTGAGAAGGACCCATGGAAGGACATGGAAGCTGGACTCACAGCTCAATGTACCTGTCTTCTCGGGAAATGGAATACCACACCATGACGACCAGCACCAGCGCCAGCATGGCCAGGAGCTTCCAGCCTGCAGGGCACATGCACAGAGGCGCTGGAGGCAGAGACAGGCAGGTCCAGCCCCAGTCCACCGTCTTACCCTCCCCACTTTGGAGCCCTGCCACCCCCCGACGCAAGCCAGCCAGTCCCTGGCCCTCACCTGGCCCCAGCCTTCCAGCAGGGCTGAACATTTCCACTGTCCTTCAGAGTGAAGTGAGGGGCCCTGGCGCCCTGTATGTCCCTCTACAACCCACAGAGGTCTCAGGATGCTGCTGAAGACCACTTCAGGGGGTCGTATCCTTCAAGGTGGGGGAGCACTTGGAAACACTCACGGGACTTGCTGATCATGTTTCTCAGCAGGTAGCAGGGCTCCTGGAGAGAGCTGTCATCCCGGCTGCCTCGGGCCACCTAGGAGGTAGGAATCACAGGTGTCTGGTCAGCAAGGCAAGCCCTCCTGCGTAGCCACTGCCGGGGACACACCCACGGCAGCCTCCGTCCTTGTCCAGAAAGTGTGAAGCTGTTCCGGAGCAGCCATCCAGAGAGTGGCCTCTCTCACCCTCGGCCCCGCAAAGGCAGCCTGGGGGGTCCCAAGAGTTCCCATGCCACAGAGAGGGAAACCCAGGATGAGGCCCCGGCAGCCCAGCTGGCTCCAGCTCCAGTCCTGAGGTTCCTCTCCCTGCCTGCTTCCTCATTTTGACCTAGGAAGGGCCAGTTCCAGGAGGCAGATGGGTCCCCACCCACTTCTCACAGAAATTTCAGTTAACTGTCCAGGGTATGATTCAGATTTTAAACAACTGACATTTACTTCTTCTCCACCCATCTCTTCACCACCATTTGCTCCAGCTGAACAGGTCTGCTCAGGCAGGGACTGGGGTGAGAGCCAGAAGGCCCAGGAAGTCCTCCAGCCCTTCCCAACTCTCGATTGAATGCAGACAGTGTCCAAGCCCTCACCACCCAGGCACGCAGGGCAACGGGGTGAAGAAAGGGCACCTGAATGGGGACCAAGAAGGACCTGGTTGGTCAAAGAGGAGACAGGAAACCCTTTCAAGGGGCACAGAAGTTGCTGCATGCACATAAACTTAGCAGTCCCTAACCGTCCATCCCACACTCAGCCACAGCCATGCTTTTGAGTAACCAGGTAAGACACTTCAGCAGGTCTCATGGCCAGGTAGCACAAGTATGCTCCCCAGGACCAGGATGACCAGAATCACCAGGTCACTGGCAATAAACAGGACCCAAGCCCTCTCCTGGGAGTCCTTTAGTCAGGTGGGACGCAGCATGAGCATTTTCATGAGAGATCCAGACGATGCTTGTGATGGGTTGGGGAGGGAGCAAATGCTGGCGTTCGTTCTCTCTTGGGACTAAGTGGAAAACCTCAAATTAGTTCCCCAGGGTGGGAGCAGCATCTGAATGAAGCCTGATTTTTGTGACACACCATATGCCCATGATCTGAACACTGTCCACTGTGGAGTTGACAGTCACCTCCCCAGGTTCACTGGGTTCCACAAGCACCAAAGAATGAGAGCCTCAGGGGGAGGAGAGTGGGTGAGGGTAGGGCTGTCAGGTGTCCCAGTAAGGTCAGGAGTGTCCAGGAGTGCCCATCCCCAGGCCCCAGTGGAGATGCAGGACGGCCCTGTCCTGTCCAGTAAAGAAAAGTTATAAGGGTGTAATCAGAAGACCCCTGAAGGGCATGGTACTTGTAATTCCCGACCCCTTACCCAGAAGTGACATGCCTCTCCTCCCTGTGACAACAGAAACTGAGCACAATGTCTGCAGGTGCCTACTTCCCTCACCCAGCGTTTCTGAAAATACTGTGTGCATTTCAGAACAAAGTGTTTCAAACCCCATTTATTTATCTCACACACGGGCAGCCACCATTAGTTGAAAAACTTCTCCTATCTTATCTAACAGGAGGGGAAGGTCCCTGTTAAAAAATTTTTGTTAAAAAAATTGGCCAAATCTTATTACCTCATCTGTAAATTCCTGCCCCTTTTGTTAAACAAGAGCTGTCAAAACCCATTCACAATCCCATCTGTGAACCCCGGCCCCTGAACTAGGGACATATATCGGCAGCTTAAATGTGATTCTCCTCTGAATCTGCCCACCTTCACGCTATGCACTTTCTTTTTTTTTAAAGATTTTATTTATTTATGCATACAGAACTGGGGTACAGGCCAGAGGAGCAGGGGTGGTGAGAGGATTCACCAGAGACAGAGTGGGGAGCAGAACAGGTGGATTGATGAAGTACACTGCTGAGGGGAGCAGTGGGCGGGTCAGCAGAGGTCTGCCGCGCCATGTGGGTCACCTCCGGGGCCAGAAATCGAACTCTGAGCACTGAGGGGGCTCCGGCTGGCTCCGGCTGGCTTACAGTGCTGCGTCCTAACCCGTTGCATCACCAGGGAGGGCCCTTCACTGACAATAATGTTTCATCTCTAACACACCTATACTGACGACTGTGTGAATTCTTTCCTGCATAGAAGTCAAAAACCTGGGGTTCCTCAGCACCCTTAGGCCTCTTTGCCCACACACCAACTGCCACTTCATCTCTGTCTTCTTCAAGGCACTTCTTCTGACCTGTATTTAGTTCAGTCCTTTATTTGTTACTTTCCATCTGTCTCCTCCACTGGAATAGAAGCTGAGGGGGGAGGGGGTCAAGAATCTCTCAAGTCCTCAGCTCTACCCACTGCCACAGGTAATGAGCAACATGTCACATGGCCTTGAGTGAGTCACTTCTCCCTCTGACTCTCAATTCCTTTGTCTGTAAAACTGGAAAGTTGGTCCAATGGACACTTGCAACTCAAAATACATTTCTTTTGTGAGCAGCAGAGGCATCGCTGAGACCTTACTAGAAATGCATCTGGCACCCTCCAGACAGAGAGTCAGAATCTGCACTTGAACAAGATCCCCTGGTGAAGCATAAGCACATCCAAGTCTGAGTAGCAGCAACCAAGATGGCTTAGCTAAACAGGACAATCACCTGGAGTATCACACACAAATCTGGGTCCCTGACCTAGGAAGCTTGACTTGGCCTAGCCCAGCTAAACAGGATAATCACCTGGATTAGAACTGCTGGTCCAGGTGATGGCTGAAGCAGCCTTCTCAAACCTTGAAGATTCATTCTGATTCAGTGGGTGTGTATTTGGGGGGGCAGGGGTCCACTTCCTAGCCAGCTCCCAGGTGGTGCCTGCTGCATCCTGGGTCCATCCTTTGAGGTGCACAGATCTAAACCAGGAACCTGCCGGCTCTATCATTGCTCTATGCAGCATCCCGCCCCCTCCACTGGGCTCTCTCTTCATCTTCCTTTCCTAGCTGTTCCCACGACCTCATTTCCTCTCCTGGTCAATCAGTAGCTCACAATAAGGGCTGCAGGTAAAAAGTACAGGGAGATCTACCTCCTATTGTCCACATTCCTAATTTAACTGGTTGGGCCCCAGGCCCAAGTGATAAGTAAAAAGCAAACAAACCCCAAACCTCCTTCCTTTGTGATTGAAAAATGCAGCCAAGATGAAAACAATAGTAGTGTGCCCCAAGGTAACTGAAAGGCAAATACTCAGCCACACTATCAACACTCAGCTAAACAGACCTGTGCAGGTGGCCTTTGGCCTAGCCACCTTTAACCTGTACCTCAATAAAGTCCTACACTGATAAGCAGGTCTTTGCTCACAAACATGCTCCCGTGTTGTGCTAAGCCAAAGGGTGAGTGTTGGGATTTGTGCCAAGACAGTCCATGGGGACTCATTAGTCCATCCTCCTTCCCTTCGCTGGCTCAAGCCAAAATGATTGTTCAGCAGCGCCCACATTCTAAGAGCAGGGGGATTCTTGGGCTGGCTCCTGGGAGCCTTCTCCCAGCAAGCATTTCTCACTCCTGGCCACGGCCCTCAGAACACCAGGACGGGAGAAAAGTCACAGGCAGCTACCTGGGTAGGGAAGCAGCAGGCATCGGGTCCATTCATAGTCACAGGGCACCAAACCTCTAGGGAGAACAGCTCACCCAACCCGACAGGCAAAGCGAACCTGTCAGGAGCAGCAAACTCAGTGTCCTCTTGGTGCTCTGCAAGTCATGCTGGAGAGAACTCGCCGGAGGCCAGAACCCCCATGGGTGAAGAAATAGGGCCTCATGGGAAGCAACGGGCAAGACTCAGGCTGCCCGGGAACTCACAGCTCAAGAGGGCTGGGCAGGCACCCACCATACCTAGAGGAAGAGAACTGGATGCCACCCCTCAGGGCAGAAAGCATGAGACCCTCCGAGCCCTGTTCCATCAATGAGCTGTGGCTTAATATTGCTGAGAAAGGGGACAGGAAGGTCAGTGGCACAGGCTTGATTCTTGTTGGTTCAGAGACCCTGAATGCCAGGGGAGGGGTCACAAGATTGATTCACACAAGGGGGATGGGGAGAAGGAGCTAGCATAGCAATGAATACAGCCATCAAATCAAGGTCGCTGACATAGCCATCAAATCCCAGTCCTCTGGTGCTGATTTCAAGGGAGGTCCCAGCAGATAACAAACTGTTTCCGGCTGTGTCTAAAGCTCAGACCCCAAAGTTAAAAGGTAAGGATGTGGAGATGAAGCTCATTAGGGAATCTCCAGTACTTTCAGATTCTATTCAAAATCAACAAACCTAGGCTCACAAGTTCTTCCCAAAGAGAAGCTGTCTATATCAGGGCAGTCTCTGCACCAGCATGGGGCAGCAGTCCTCTGCCCACCTGTGACTATGCAGGTGCTTCCTCCCCCCATCCCTGCCCATGCAGGACAGCAGCCTCGTGCCTGCCAGTGACCTGTACCATGCTGGGACATCTCCGCACTGACCTCCTCCGGGGAGGCCTTTCTCCTAAGGCCGCCTGCCTGCAACCATGCAGATCTCTCTCTGTCAATCTGTCCCTTCTGAAGCATCTCCCCTGCCTGCTTGTGCCTATGCAAGTGTCCAATTCTCCTGTCCTTTTCCCTAAGAAACTTGTTCTTTAAATATAACTGAGTCTCTGTCTCGCGGAGAAACTCGCCGCCTGCCCCTGAATGGGGAGAGCTGGTGAAATCTTTCCCAGAGTGAACCCAAGGACCCCCAACTCCAAAAGCGGCATCATTATCAACCTGCAGTTCTGTGGGGGAAACTGGAGCGTTTGGCTGTCACCTCTAGACTCACCCAGCACCCCAGCTCTCCGGCCTGACTCTGCCACCCATAGGGTGGATCCCGTTTACCTCTCCAGCTTTGCCCTTCAGTGATGCTCCCTCCCCTTTGTCTTCCCTCTTCAGCTCCTTTGACTTAGAAACATACACCAGTCTGCCTCTTCCTAAAACAAAACCCTTCTCTGCGTCCAAGCTACTTCCCCTCTTTAGCCCCTAAACCACTCAGGGCACTACCCTTATTTTTATGCTGAAATCACTCCTGCTGGGGCCATCAGTGGCTTCCTAAA